GCGATGGTGTGCGCACGTTCGCCATCGCTCTCGGGGCTTGCGAGGCTGCGGGCGGGGGAAGCTGGAGCTTCCCCCGACCCCAGCCCCCCGAACGGGTTGGAGAGCGATGGCAAAGGTGCGCGCAGCTTTGGCATCGCTCTGGGAGCTTGCGCGGCTGGGGGGATAGCTTCCTTAAGCCTGGAGAGCAAGAGGGGTCGGTGCGCACCGACCCCTCTCGCTCTCCAGGCTTCAGCGAAAGCCTGCATTCGCGGCGATGGGATGTGGGAGGGAGGGAGCTCGCCGCCCCGCGTGTGCTCGCCGCCGCCGCCCCGCCTCTCGCCGCCCGACTCGCCCGCCTCCCTCCCACGGCACACTAGGCAACGTCTCACGGCACACTAGTGTGCCGCGGAACACCGGTTGGGAAACACTGGACTAGATGACCCTCAGGGTCCCAGGATTCTATGCTTCCAAACAGTTTTCAAATCCAGCAGCCAACGGAATCATCAGCACCAGCATATATTTTTTTTAAAAAAAAGTCTAGAGCACTATAAAAATCTGCTTCCCTTTTTCTTTTTGTATTCTATTCTATCATTTGGATAATAAACTAGGTGATTGTATGTGCGCATGTTAATTAATGGAAGGGAAGCAGATCCCCAGTGTACCAAACAAAGCAGGTGGGGAAGAGTCCTTTTAGCAACTTACAGATACAGTAAGAATAAATGCTGGTTGAGCTACTGAGAAAAGGCTGGGTTCATCTGATTTTCACACTAATGTTGCATGTTGGCAGGATGGCAACCGTTTTGTACAGTGGTGCCTCGCAAGACGAAATTAATCCGTTCCGCGAGTCTCTTCGTCTTGCAGTTTTTTCGTCTTGCGAAGCATGGCTATTAGCAGCTTAGCGGCTATTAACGGCTTAGCGGCTATTAGCGGCTTAGCGGCTTTAAGAAAAAGGAAACAAACTCGCAAGAACTCGCAAGACGTTTCGTCTTGCGAAGCAAGCCCATAGGGAAATTCGTCTTGCGGAACGACTCAAAAAACGGAAAACCCTTTCGTCTAGCGAGTTTTTCGTCTTGCGAGGCATTCGTCTTGCGGGGCACCACTGTACCACAAACTACTAAGGGCTCATATGCAAACCAATCTGAAGTTTTATTGCAGTAGTTTGGTATTTGATGCAAACTCCACTGAGGTAGAGAGAGGTCTTCTCAGGAGTTCCAAAAGTAAACGCTCATGAAAATATACCCCCTTCTAATGCACTGGCTGTGCTTAGGAGATCAAACATCTCTCAGATTATTATTATTATTATTATTATTATTATTATTATTATTATTATTATTAGCAGAGCTATGATATGCTTTTTTGTCAGGGCATGCAGCCCCTTTGTGGCACAGGCAAACAAACTAGGAAGTATTCAACCAACCATAGTTTCCTGTTACATCCAAACTAGGGGACTGCGGTTACCAGCTTCAGAGAAGTCAGGATATTAAACCATGGTGGGAAGTTCATTATTTATCACTGGTTATTAATTAACATACCACTTGCCTGCCCAAATGGCTTCCAAGTATAAAATCAATTATAAAGTCCATACATAATCAAAAGCAGCTTTGAATTTCCTGGTTTGTTCCCAAACTGAAAATGATAGTTTTCCAGTTCAGGGAGAGGGAAAACTGGAAGCTTGTGGCTAATTAGAGGCTTCCCAGTTTGATAGTGGGTTGCCCAAATTCGCTCCCACACATACGGCAAAAGGCTTGTTCATATCTCAGTATATTAAGTCAAGTAACAATCACCTGAACGGGCAACGCTGTACCCCTTAAATTCACTGCACGTACAGCATATGTAATGTCACCATGAGATTCTTGCAAGAGGACATGAGAAGTGGCCTTTTGGACTATATAAATTATAAAACTTAATGCTGTGAACTAAACGAGACAGCAGTTAAGAGGCTATTGCACTATTACAGGGATATGGCACTGATAGGAGTCAATGGAAAGGAGAGATTTCTGCAAGGCACACCGCGCAGTAAAGTGCTCGAGATCAACTGATAGCAGAAATCATTAAGAGCAAAGATAAAAATCAAGAAGCGGGGCTTTTGGGTTTTTTTGTTCTCCGTGTTGCAACTGAAGTTTGGAAGCTTCAAATCCTACTTACTTGGCGCCACCATGTGGCAATAATCTGTATTACCACTATTTCCATCAATGGAGAATGGAAACTCTTGTTCACAAGCAAAAACATACCAGCAGTTGTGTAAATCCTTCTATTCCTGAGGTCCAAACTGTGAAGTAGCAGCATGGGGGGGGGGGCGGGAGGAGTAGCCTCTTATACATCTTTGAAGGGGCGGGGGAGAGAGACAGAGAAAAGGGAGCGAGCAAGAATACAGAGGTGCAGAAGGTAAGTTTTCTCCTGACACAAGCCCACTAGGAAGGATAAACTCATTTGATAAATCCATAGGTAGCTTCCTAACTATTAATGCAGATATGTAAATTCTGCAAGACTGCACTGTTTCTCATGCACCTACATCACTTTCGAAAGACATTAATACATAAGAAGAGCTCTGCAGGATCTGACCAACAGCCCGTCTAGTCCAGCATCCTGTTCTTACAGTGGCCAGCCAGAGGCCTGTGGAAAGCCCACTATGCAGGACATGAGAACAACAGCACTCTCCCTTCTCATGTTCTCCAGCAACTGGTGTTCAGCACAGAAGCAGAAAATAGTTATCACGGTTTGTAGCCATTGATACGATTAGACTAGCTGGTGGTTCCATCACTACCTTTTGGACCCGGCTGTGCAGTTCTGGAATGCTTACACATAAAGGTTGAAAAGCCAGGGTCTGTAGTGCTCAAACCTCACCCATTTAATAATATAAGAAACCAAAATGCGAGAGGGAAGCCCTGCTTGAGGGGAGCCTAAGCCTGCGCTTACTGAGATAATTCGACCCTAGAAATATTTTGAAGAAAGGGAACGAATGAATGAGGTTGAGGAAGCCATGAATTGTAAAGTTTCCAGTTTCAGCTAATGTTCCAAGGGAAAGGATTCCTCTAACTCCGGAGAAAATCAGAACTTGAGTTTTAAGTAGCCCCTGTGTGGACTTGACAGCATCAAGGTGGCTCTCTTCGCCGATAGCCTGGGAAGGAAATGCTCTTTTTGGAATATAGGCAAAAAGGATGCATATCTTTGGCCAGCTTGCCTACTGCAGAAGCACGTTCAACTGAGCTGCACAGCCTTCTCCCCTAGATCAAGCTCGGAGGAAGCCCGCTCCGAAAATCAACGTGAGGCAGGATACAGATTCCTATGGGGCTGATTAACCGGCAGGAGCAGCTGTGATCTGTGGACAGCTGCCCCACGCTGAGCCTCTGAAATGCAGGTGACAGCTTCTCAGTGAAATACCCTCAGGCCCTGGAGTGGCTCCACCCACCCAGGCTGGTCTACGGATCCTCCTGGGCAGAAAGCTATGGAAGAAGCTTCTTGTTCCAGTTGAAGAACAAACACTTCCTGAGCTCTGGCGTATATTCCCATATCCTTTCATTGCCCTTCGGTCCTGATCCCTGGGTTGTCCCTCGGTCCTACCTCCTACTTTGTCCTTTGGCCCCAAGCCTTCTCCATCCCACTGCTCCTGTCTCATTTCTGGCCATCATCCAGCATCCCAGTGCAACAGTGACACAGTCCCTTTCCTCCTATCCAAAGCAGTTAAAGCATATACAGTGGTACCTCTGGATGCGAACAGGATCCATTCCGGAGCTCCGTTCGCATCCTGCGTGTCTGTGCATGCCGTGATTCGCCGCTTCTGCGCATGCGCGTGACATCTTTTTAAGCGTCTGCGCATGCGCGAGCGGTGAAACCCGGAAGTAACGCATTCCATTACTTCCGGGTCACTGCGGAGCGTAACCTGAAAATGCTCAACCTGAAGCATATTCAACCCGAGGTATGACTGTAATAGGACTTTTTGCTTTAATCACAATGTTTAGCTTGTTTTTTCAATTGTTGCTTTGTTATCAGTATTTTATGGACTGTTAAAAGTTTTTACACTGATGATTTGCTAATTATTCCATTTGATTTGTGCTGCATTTGTGATGTTCTGTTACGTTCCATCATATGCTCCTGCTCTTTATTGTTTGCAAGCCGCTTTTGGGATTCATTTGAAAGGAATGCAGCCTAGAAACACAATAAATCAAATCAAATCGATTTTGGAACAGCAGGAGTCAGAAGATAACGACACCAAGGAATGGCCACACTTGTGAGTAGTCAGAGGCCATGTTCAGGGCTACCGATGGGCAGAAGAGGCAGGATTACAGTGGTAGCTCGAGTTAAGTACTTAATTCGTTCTGGAGGTCTGTTCTTAGCCTGAAACTGTTCTTAACCTGAAGCACCACTTTAGCTAATGGGGCCTCCTGCTGCCGCTGTGCCACCGCTGTGCCACCGCTGCACGATTTCTGTTCTCATCCTGAAGCAAAGTTCTTAATGTTTCTGGTTTAGAGGAGTCTGTAACCTGAAGCGTATGTAACCTGAAGCATATGTAACCCGAGGTACCACTGTAGATGGTTTGATCTAGCAGGGCTACTCTGATGTCCTCACAGGGCGGTTTTCAATTTACACCACAGATAAGGAACCCATAGTTCTCCAAACTTCCCAAATCCCATCAGCCATAACCAGCATGGCCAGTGGTCAAGGATCATGGGAGCTGGAGCCCAGGGAACATCTAGGAAGTTGCAAGCCCCCCCCCCCATTCCTACCTTATGCCAAACCTGGTTCAAGACAAACCTCAGGCTTAATAATTTAGGTGGACTCTTTTGAGCACTTAGCAAACTATCTATGCAGACACAGTGCAGATATTGGTTGGGATGCTGAGTTTGCTCCCATTGGCAGGAGAATCCCCTGGACAGAGTTCCACACATGGGATCTTCCAACCGGCGGAAGGGAAGAGGCAACTCTCACCTGAGGTTGAGACATCTGGAGGGCAGCAGGCTGGCGAAAGCTGAACCAAGTTAAGAAGAAACGCAGCCAAAAAAACACAGTAAGTAAAACCATACCTTGCACTCCTTCCAGGAGCAGATCCACTCCTTTCCTATAAAAGCCAAAGGCAGCCTCATAGTCTTCCTCTTCCTCCTTCTTCAAGGCCAGCTTTATCAGCTCCCCTGCCTTGTCCAGGTAATCTCGCCTGCCAAGCTTGGCCTTTAAGCTCCCAGTGAACAGGCCCCGGCTTTCCCTCTCGCCATCGGGTTTGCTCCATTCGTGGTCCGAAATGGCAGAGACCTGCGCCAGCGGTTCAGTGGGAAAGCTGAGGCTGAAGGATCTGCTGGGGGAATTCTGGTTAGATGCCATTCCATCATCTAACTCAGCAAGGGAGTCCACATCAACGGTCAAAGAGATCAGGTCGCTGTCGCTTGAGAAACCTGAAGGGCAGAAGGAGAATGGAGTTGGGAAAGAATTTGGGGGGATCATCTAGTCCACAGGTAGCCAAAATGGCATCTTCCAGCCGCGGGCAAATCATGGCTGCCAGAGGGTCCAATTTGGCCAGTGAGACCCATATCCAAGTGTCAATCAGGTGATGTCACTGGGTGATGTCAGCTGATATGCAAGGGGGTGGAATTTGCTGGTGAAACAGACCCTTGCATAGAGTAGGACTGAAGTCTCCACTCATCTGCTGGTGAGCAGACAGTTCAGTCCTGCTGGGTGCTGCTTCACCAGTACATTTTCTGAGGGGAACGCACTGGCAAAAAAGACCCCCCCTCCCTCCCCACATGGCACAATCCAAGATTTCAGCTAATCGCAAAAGCAACGATTGGCACGACGCTGCTGCGTTCACGACCGAAACTCAAATCGACCACTCCTTACTCACGCTTACCTCCATACTCTGACTGGCTGAGTGTCACGTCATCAAGGAGACCGGCATCCTTCCGAGCTTGAAAAACCAAAGGGGGGGAAGAGAGGGGAAATATATAGAAGGGAAAGTGGGTGAGTTTCTGTAGCTCGGAACAAGTCACAACTCTTGAGATGACATCTGCATGTGTTATAAGTGGGATACTGAACCCTTTCTCTAATCTGTGCAGAAATCAAATGACCTTGGCCGCATTCATAGCTCAAAGCACAATAATACACCGCTTTAAACAGTTGTGGGGGAAGCCATGAGTTTTTAAAGTGGTAGCACAGCACTTTAAATGGTGTGAGAAAAAGGGTCTGAGAAACCAACCCCGCGCTAACTAAAACAATATAAATGAATCACATGCTTATTAAAGACATTGCACATATGCCAAACTACAGACTTGCAGCCTGGTCCTAGGCACTTTTGCTCAGAGTCCCCACAGTTTTTTAACAGGGCTTATACCCTAAACAAGCATGCTTAGGGTTGCAAGTGTTACAAGTGCCTTTTACAGAAAGACAGCTGCATTAAGGTATCTCAAGCTCTGGCATTAGCAGGTTTTATCCCATATCAGCGAAGAGCGGCAAGGTTTGGGACTCCATGCATGCTAACACCAACTACGTTTACATGTTTGTGCGGACCAAAAAAATTCTAGCTGAAATGCTAATACTGCCATCTAGAGGAGATGAGGAGGGAAAAGGTGCGCTTTTACATTCCTTGACTATGCTATAAATCACCCTACTTGGTAAACTTGGGCTGGGGACAAAATTACGAGAGGTAACACAGTGGGAGCCAACCTTCAGAACTGCAGACCGACAGGCTGTCTGTCAAGGAATCCAACAGAGGATCTGCAGGGCCAATCAATTCAGACCCAGCATGTACTTCTCCATCCTTGAAAAATAAAGAGAAATTAGGACTTATTTAACTGTAACTTACTATGAATTAAAGCAACTTCCACTTTCACCAAGAAAAAGAAAAGAGCTATAGAAAAACGTGGCCAGGTCACAGAGGCTTCACACCTTCCGCATTCAAAACCTAACTTCTTAAATAAAAGGCTCACTGGTATTTTCACCCATCTGGGGAAAGGAAAAGTTATACCTCCCCTCCCCACAATGGAAGCCCCCCCACACCTGAACGGTATTTTTTTAAGCTCATAGTTGCCAACTACATATTTCGTGAGTGTGCAGTTTAGCCCTAAGTATCTAGCATCTATAAGCAACACATTCGAAGCAGCCTTCTCAGTGAAGAAAAGTATCATTTACTAATAATAATAATAATAATAATAATAATAATAATAATAATAATAAATTATTTATACCCCGCCCATCTGGCTGGGCTTCCCCAGCCACTCTGGGCGGCTTCCAACACAATATTAAAATACAGTAATGCATCAAACATTAAAAGCTTCCCTAAACTTTAAATCACCCTGCTTGCCTGCAGCCCTATTCCACAAAAGAGAGCAGTTCTGGAGCATGAGTGGCATTCTGGCTGCACACAAGTGTCTCCTTTGCGGGCATATTCCCATTTATTCATATACCGAGTGATATACAACACACCAGCACCTCTTACAATTCATGGGGGATACATAGGTAGCTACTTAGACATGATGGCTAGCTATGACAGCCTCCACTGTCGGAGGCAGTATGACTCTGGACACCAAGATGTTGGGCATTGCAAGAGGGGAGATGCTGTTGCACGCAGACTTCCTCCTTGCAGGCTTCCCACGGGCATCTGGTCGGCCATTTTGAGAACAGGGTGCTGGACTAGATGAGTCTTTGGTCTGATCCAGGAAGAGCTCTTCTTAACGTCCTACTGACCATGCTAACTGCGCAAGCGTTCCCGGAATCTGGTATATGGGTGTTTAAAGACAGGCACATGCCATTCATGCCTACATGTATAGGGAATGAATGGCATCCCTAGCTATCAGGACCGGTTGTCAGGGATGATGGGAACTGTAGTCCAGAAACAGCTGGAGACCCAGGTTTGGGAAACTCTGCTTTGAGCTTTTACAAATGCAGGCAAACCAAGGTTCAGAGCTGTATTTCCTAATACCACTTCATTTATTTTTTTAAATAATTTTTAATTGATTTTCCAATATTGACCCAATATTACAACAGTTTTGCCAATTATGCCAATTAATGTCAAAATAATTCCAATTGATTCCAAATTTATACAATTTAATTAAAGTGGTTTCCTGTGCTCCTTGATCAATTTTTTTAATGCAGTCCTTATATTGTTGCAGTTCATATTTTTTATTATCATCTAATTACATTTCGGTTGGTATATTAATCATTAAGATAACAGCTGCATTTTTAACTATTAACTATCCATGTTAATACCTTATCTAACTTTCCAAGGATTTCAAATGAGGTGCTCTAATTATTTTCCTCTTCTCTGCATGTTTCAGTCTGAATATGTTGAATTATAAAGCCCTTGGCCACTAACACCACTTTAAATAATCACGGTTTCCCCAAAATAATTATGGGAACTGCAGATTGTCTAGGATACTTAGTTGTTAGGAGACCCCTGTTTGACTCCCAGTTTTTATAATTCCCAGAGTTCTTGTGAAGAGGGATTGACTGTTAAACCACTCTGAAAATTGCATCTCTGTGAGGGAAATAAGGGTCTCCTAACAACTCTCAGAATCCCTGCGACAGGGTGAGCTCCCATTGCTCGGTCCCAGCTCCTGCCAACCTAGCAGTTCAAAAGCACCTCAAAGTGCAAGTAGATAAATAGGTACCGCTCCGGCGGGAAGGCAGACGGCGTTTCTGTGCACTGCTCTGGTTTTGCCAGAAGCGGCTTAGTCATGCTGGCCACATGACCCGGAAAAACTGTCTGCGGACAAACATTGGCTCCCTCGGCGAGTAAAGCGAGATGAGCGCTGCAACCCCAGAGTCGTTTGTGACTGGACTTAACTGTCAGGGGTCCTTTACTTTACAGTTTTAACAACTCTCAGAACCAGAACTTTTTTTCAGCCAGAACTTACCGGAACTCAGATCAGGCAGCTATCAGGTGGGCACCACTGCCATGATAAGAGAACAAGTGAGGCATTCACAGTTCCAGCACCTCTTTTTCTAAAAAAAATAGCACTGCTCAGAACCCTTAACAAGCTACAGTTCCCAGAATCCTTTGGGGGAAACAATGGCTGCTTGAAGTGGTATGATACTGCTTTAAATGTATGGTGTGGGTGTGGCTTAAGTTCTACTCAAGAGCAGACCCACTGAAATTAATGGACCTAACTTACTAGGTTTCTTTCATTTCAATGGGTCTACCCCAAGCCCATCTGGGCCAAATGCCACCCCACATATAAACCCGTTTAAAATGGGTTCCTCCTCCTCCCTCCCTCCCTAGGGGAGACCCTGTTTACATCGACTTGACCTGACTCTCAAAAGAGTAGCTGCCTTAAAGAGCGAGGCTGTTGCTTATTCTGCCTAGTGGCATCACTGACGAGGCATGGAGCGGCTCAGAAGTTATTTAACCTTAAAGAAATCTTCAAGCTGCTTGCTGTTAAAGAGCGCCGGGATGTTGGCAGAGAACTGAAGCAAGTCTTCTGCGCACTGTCTCCTCTCTTCAATCACGCTTTCTTCAAATCGCCCTGAAACATAAAAAGCATCAACATTCTGAGAAACAATTAAGCCTTTTCCTTGCTTTATCAAAAAACAAAAAACAAAACAAAACCCACCACCCTACGAGAAGAAAGCCCTGCATCTATGAAGACGCATGATCGCTTTGGGAGACAGTGACAAGCTTCACACTTCTCAAAATGCCCCCTACAATCCTGCCTTCTGCAATCAAATGATATAATCTGGCAGCGGCTCGCAGAACCCAAGATTCCACCCTCTTTAAAAGACATGCGAAGCAACACTCCAGATTAGCCAAGAGACACAAGCATATGTCCATCAGTTTCCAGAAGCAAAATGTTCTAATCCTCCTTGTCACATTATGGACGGCCACGTTCTGCCTTAGCTACAGGCCTAACCCTGCGCAGACTGGATCGCTACCTAGCAAGGCTCTAACTGCACGTGTAAGTCAACAACACGATTGCTAAAATTAAATACCGGGCGCCAATGGGATTCTCCTTCTTTTTTTAATTTCCCTTCCCCTAATGGTAATTTGCTGCACCAGGACTGGAGTGGAGGGGGGTGGATTTTACGGAGTTTGCAGCTGGAGAGGGAAAGATTCTATTTCACCTTCCTGAACGCTGCAATCTTGGTACCAGGTGTGGGTCTCCCCCCAGACAGTTATTTAATTTTTAAAGACACACAGCGCGATTACTAATCGCATCATTAACATCACACGTAGTTGGGCCCTCAGCTAACATAAAGGCAGAGGTTTGGATGGATGTTGAGTGGAACTCTCCTTATGGGACGCTCCCATCAGAAGGAAAGGCAATTTTCGCCCGATTCCCTCTCCCACCTGCAGCCCCTGTGCATCCCAACCCCCCAACCCGGAAATCTGCTCCGGAGGGCTGGAGGACTGCCCAGAACAGCTGGAGCTGCTGGGGAAAATGGGAATAGTCAGAAACTGGCACCTTCTCCTCTCTGCATCAAAGAGAACCTCCACTGGATTAAAAGTTCTTATGTAAATAGGAGTCTTCCCCTCCACAGAAATGTTCTAGTCATTTTTTTTATTTATTATTTTGTTCCCAAAAAGTGTGGCTCATTGCAATACATATGTATTCCGTATCTGTTGTCTGTTTTTGACCATTTCGAGATAAGACAGAGTTATGAGATTTGCAGCGGAGGCCCAAAAGCAGAGGGAAAAACTAATGGAGGCTAATATGGCAAAGCACGATAATTTAATTGGATGATTTGATTTAAACATTTATCTGGATGCCTTTAAATGTATCAGCTCTCTTGACCATTTGTACTCTAATGAGTATTTTTGTTTTATTCTTTTGTCATCTTTTGTATGTTGAATATTTAGTAGTAGTATTTTGGTCTGTTTTAATGTAAAGATAATATTAACAGTGCACATTTCATTTCATTTTTTCTGTGGTTAATATGACCATGATGGCCAAAACAACAACACAAAACGGTAGTAATATTTATATTCTGAAATGCTCCATAAATACTTTATCTTTTGAATTGGGTGATGAATTCAGCTTTCTCAACCCCGCCAGCCTTCATTGTGGGGGTGAGAGGGAAGCAAGCTTTTAGACCTTGGCTGGATCTACACAGATATAAAAAAACACTATGGAGAGAAAAGCTATAAAAAGATACAGCTCCCAATTGAAATTTTCACAGACATTGGATTTCCGCTCTACAGCGGGATCTGGTGTCACATTTTTATGATGCATTTATAACGTTATAAATTCACCTGTGTAGCTAAGATGATGATGATGATGATAGTAATAATAATGTATGTATGTATGTATGTATGTATGTATGTATTTCCCGCCCATCTGGCTGGGTTTCCCCAGCCACTCTGGGCAGCTTCCAACAAAATATTAAATATACAATAAAACATCAGACATTAAAAACTTCCCTAAACTAGGCTGCCTTTAGATGTCTTCTAAAAGTCAGATAGTTGTTTATTTCCTTGACATCTGATGGGAGGGCATTCCACAAGGCAGGCAGCACTACCAAGAAGGCCCTCTGCCTGGTTTCCTGTAACTTTGCTTCTCGCAGTGAGGGAATCACCAGAAGACCCTCAGAGCTGGACCTCAGTGTCCAGGCTGAACAATGGGGTGGAAATGCTCCTTCAGGTATACTGGACCGAGGCCATTTAGGGCTTCAAAGGTCAGCACGAACACTTTGAATTGTGCTCGGAAACATACTGGGAGCCAACGTAGGGAGCCAATGTCCCTTATCTTTGCAGAAATAGGCTTAAAAGGCTCTGGGTAACGGCTGACAAAATCTTACAGGAGTGGCTGAGTTCCAGCCATCATGGAAGCAGTTCGAGGGCTTTGTATTGCTTCTCACACTTCCACATGACTAACAGAAACAGACTTCCCCAACCCTGATGGAAAGACACTTTTATTTATACTGTAGCTGTAATGTTCCTTGGTTATGCAATTTTCCATGCAATGTATCTATTTGGGGGAAAATATTAAAAATACAACCTTTAAAAAAGCATGAGGCAGATGCATGGAAGGTAAGCTCTGCCTCCATAGCTGGAGACATTGTGCTTCTGAATACCAGCTGCTAGAACCGTGAGAGGGGAGGGTGCCAATGCAATTGGAGTCCTGCTTGCAGGCTTCCCATTAGCATCTGACTGGCTGCTATGAGTAGAGGGTGTTGGATGAAACAGGCCACGGGCCTGATCCAGAAGCCAGCCTCTTCTTGTGTTCTTAACTTTACACACTGAAACAGCCCTCCAAGTGAAGATGCCTGGGCGCCAGGATGGCATCAGACATCTCCACCATCCGGAGGTGCCTGCCTGGGGATCCTTGGATCTGGACCGCTTTCACACACTAATAACCACACCCTGTAGAATTCTATCCGTTATATTTTATCTGCACTATCAGAATGAATTGCAGGAACCAAAATGCTTCAGGAGCACTGAACAACGTCATGGTTGTCACTTGTCTTCACTTATCCCACCCCACTGCCCCGCTCACAGCTGTGAAGAATGTTCTTACGTTATGAATGGTCTGTGTCACCATTAAAAGAGGGGGTAGGAATAGGCCAAGATATTTGTGGATTGTCCCTGGATCAGGTGGCTTTTCTTCTTTAAGTTCTCGAAGTTCTTAGCCTAGCTCAGTGGTTCTCAACCTGTGAGTCCCCAGATGTTGTTGGACTACAACTCCCATCATCCCTCACCCCTGGTCATGCTGGCTAGGAATTATGGGAGTTGTAGTCCAACAACATCTGGGAATCCACAGGTTGAGAAACACTGCCTAGCTCAAGTTTGTCATCTGAACTAGCCAGATGTTTAACTGAGAATCAATCACAGTCAGTCCATCATTTGAAAAATAAGACTTTACAGCCAGCTTGCCCAAAAATGGCAACTAGACATTCGATTTTGGCAACTGAAACCTTGGTTTTAGGAGCCTTTTGGCGCCTGGTTTTTATATGTGACTTTCTAACACGGGTCAGATATAAAAGACACCACTAGTTACTATGGCCAATTCATTTTAGCTATTTAGAAAAGTTGCACAGTCTGAGGTTTTCAAGAGGACTTTTGCCTCTGAGTGAGAGAGATGCATTATTGCTCTGTGCCACATTGACTAGGATCACTGCTTGTCATTGTGTATTAGCTGTCTCTTCAATGAATGAATAAAGCAGGAGAAGCCAGTGTGGTATCCTACAGATGTTGTGACACCACAACTCCCATTATCCCTCAGCATTGGCCATTCTGGCTGGGACTGGCGTGAGCTGTAGAGACCAAGTTGTAGAGGGAAAGGATCTTTCATCTAACATTTGTAATCATTCAAAAGCCACTTGGAGAGAGCCTCACAAGGAAGGGGAACAGGAATTTAAAATACTGATTAAGGCTACCCTCTGACATGCACACTTATAAGTAACTCAGGGGCACTCACTTTTGAGTAGGTGCATACGGGGTTGTAAGTTACTTTGCTGGAGCTAGATCTGGGAAGATCAAAGAAAGCTGAGCAGCTGGGTCTATTGTCATTAACTTTTGGTTTCCATGCTCCGTGCCAGCATTGTCTATCCGGTGGAGAAGGTGGAAAACTCCAAGCAAAATTCAGGAAAGCAGCATGAACTCTTTCCTCGTCATCAAAGGGTTCTTACAACCCCGTGGTGCACAGGTCTCTATTGTAGCAGCACCGAAAGAACAATACATCGGCTTTCCATCTTTGAAACTTTGTGGGAACGGGGGAATTCTTAGCTCTCCACCCATTTTGCAAAGGGGGACAGGGTGCAGAGAGAACGGAATGTAGCAGCTCTTCCGGACTGCAGAAGTATTTAGAAAACATTTATTCAAGTTGCTGTGCTGCTGTGGAGGAGAGGAGAGGAGAATGGGCACACTCTGGCTTCCCTCATCACCCAGAGAACTAAGCCTTGCTGGAAGTGGGCTGCCTTTTTGAGATTATTCCCATAAAGGGAAGATCAGCTTGGCCCCTAGTAGATTTTGAAGGCTTAACAACTTGCCTGGTGACGTAAGGACTGGCACTCAGAGAATGCGTTTAGGTTCATGAACGTGGCTGCCGATGTTTGGTGGGCTCTGGTCCAGTGGTAACCAGCACTGCCTTCCACACTACAGCCTTTTCTTTCAACATGGGGGTACTTAGGTTAACTGTTCTGTGGATATTCTATATACACCAAGACAGGGCTAGCCAACATGGTAGCCTCCAAATGGATTCCAACCCCCACCATGCCTGACTGGGAAGGTCTACAGAACAAAGGAGCAGGTAACAATAGGTTTTCGTCCCTATTTTGTGTTAGAAAATGTCTTGAAAGCAGGGGAAATAGTTTTTGCTTTTTTCAAAAAATAAATGAGAAAACTAACGAGCAATAACTGTCAGGCACATCCCCTTAATTTTACTATTCCAAATGCGCAAAACATTCCAGTCTTACTCTTATCCTTCCAAATATTCGTCCACCCTTCTATTGAGCTCTCGCTCTTGCCAACTCTTGTTCCCAATGCAAGCTGTTGTTAAAAAAACCACACACACACACTCACATCCAAAACCCACAAAACCCAATCACGACGTTGAATATTTTACAACCTCTGCTTGAGCAGAGAAATTAAACAATGCCACTTTCAGAGCACATTTTACCCAGGATTCTAATCTTGCTCATGCAACTCAATAAAAGCATCCAGGGAGGTGAGGAGATGATGGTTTGAAGGGGAGGGGACTGTTTTATTGATCATTGCTTCCTTTTGGGAACTCCTCAGAATTGCTGTATTATTACAAGCATGCTGGAAATTCCATTAGAGAAATGGGACCTGCAACAAAATGTTGCAACATCAAGTGCTCCTGTTCAGAGCGCCAGCCAGCCAGCCATGACCTCTTCCAAGACACCCCATTCCACCCTCTCTGCTTCCACCACCGCCAACAGACACCCAATACCCCATGCTCCCTGAGCATGATCAGTCCTCATTGAGCTGATCTGTGCTTCTGCCAACCTTGAAACTCCTCCAAGCCTGCCAGCATCTTCCTCTGGGGTGCCATTTTGGCTATCTGAGGATCAGGAGTTGGAAAAACAACCAACTTTTAAAGAGGGATACAAAAAAGGGAGGCGTGAGGAAGTCAGGAAAACAAGTTAATCAAAGATGAGCAATTAGAAAAGAGGATTTTGTGTTTTTCTTTTTTGTGTGTTTATTGACTTTTTCTTTTTCCCCTGTTAGGTTAGGTTAAATGTTTGTATTTTTTTGTATTGTGAAATTTTGTATTGTTGTGTTTTATATGAGATTTGTTCATATTTTGGCTATCAATTTGGTGTACAAATCTGACAGGGGAAAAATGAATAAATGAACAAAACAGAAACAGGAAGAAAAAAAAGGAAAAACAAGCCCACCTTTTTTATTAAAAAAGAAGGGGGCATTCATCCAATTCCCAAGTTCACAAGTTTCTCTGAGGAGAGGGAACCCTGACACTTCAGATTTGGAAGGCAAATGTAAAATGAACATGGGGGATAAATGGGGCACCTACCATGAGCGATTAGATTTTTCAGAGGGAGAACCAAAAATGAAAAAAATAGAAGAGATGAAAGAATATGTGCCAGACTGGCTAAATTATTATCCAATTAATTCAAAATTTAAGGCAAAAAATAACAACCGGGATTTAGAGAACAACAATCACTTTCAATGGCATCCCCATATCTTATTCTTATTCTTAATTAAATTTGTTAGCTGCTTTGCCTTGCCCAAGACAACCCAAAGCGACTTACAAACACCTGCCCTTACCAGCCAACTGTACCCAGTAGGATGGAAAAATACTTGCCAACTTCGATGTTTTAATACTGCTACCCTCCATGATCAGTACATGCCTCTCACAATGGCTGGCATAATCATATAAATGGATAAACAACAATGAAGCAGTTTAACACAACCAATTGCTTATACAGTTTGCAAAAAGCAGTTTTTAAAAAAGTCACAATCTCACCAGCTAATGTGGCAATCATAATGCTTTCCTAAGCAGGAAGATTTTGTCTACCCTCTGAAAGATCAATGATAAAAGGAAGCCAGCCAGATGTCCCTCTCTGGGGAGGGGATTCCCAAGGGAGAGAAAGTGGGAAAGGTTCGGGATCTCCCATCCACACAACAATAAAGGGGGGGGGGTTGGTCAGGGCCTCCTGGGCTGATTTTAATGAACTTTAGGTGAATAAAAGGCAAGAGATGCTCTAGAACTTTTAGTGCATAGTGTAGCTGGCCATCTGAAAAATCAGTATTTTCATCGAAAGCCAGGACAAAAAGTATACAGGTGTATATATAATATCTGCACCACCTGAACTATGTGCTACATAACTTCCGACACATGGCACAGAACTTAGCCAAATATACATGGGAAAGTGCATACTCTAATATCATCAAACATGTTTTTCTATACATATAATGAAGATCTACGAATGTTATCACACTGCGGCTCACTTGGCCACAGACAGGTGGGGCAGTGAACTGCACCCTGAGGACAAACTGGGCTCTCAGGCATGCTGGGGGAGGGGGTGGGCAAGAAGGGAGGGAACTGGAGATGGAGGCAGGCGAGCAGGCCAATAGGCAGACTGGCAGCCCAGGCCAGTGGGCAGGCTTCTTTCTCACACTTCCCACAGCATTGGCAGGTGGAGAAAAGATGGGGAGAAAGATGCTTTGTTCTCTCCTTCATCACCCACCCACCCCACCTCCAGGCTAGCAGGCTTCTTTCTCAGGCACCCCTCAGAGATAGTGGGTGCTTAGGAGAGGCAGGTTGGTGAGGCAAGCAAGTGAGCGGGTGGCCCAGGTGAACTGAGGAAGTTTTGGGTACTCTAGCAGAAACAGTGTGTGTGTGTGTGTGTGGCTTTGGAAAGGGGGGTTTGGTAGGGGGCAGGTGGGGTTGGTGAGCAAAGAGAGCAAAAGCGTAGTCCCTAATAATGGATATAGTTTGATGGGCGGCATCATTATTTGCACATACGGCACATTTCTAAGTGGGTCCTCAGCTTGCTACCTTTAAGCCTCCACTGAGTGTGGCACAGAGGTGATTCATCTCACTGCTACCTGACAGAAGATTGCAAAGATTGCACCAGGTTCTCTTCTACTGAACTATGGTCCCCATCACGAACATGGTCTTTGCATTCAGCAGGAAGAGGTGCTACAAGAAACTGGGGAAGCCCTGGTGCATGTATTTCAAACATCACAGCTGCCTGCCACTTCAGTGATGCAATAATTTCGTCACTTGCTTTTGGACCACTTGCTCAGCAGCTCTGTATACTAACCAGGATGACATTTAAATTATAGAAATAGGTTGCCCCCCCCCTCTCTCCTTGCCAAGTCTTTTGGGCACATCAGCATCATGTCCTTGAGCTTTTTAAAAACTTAACGCTCTGTGGCAATTCGGTAGCCAAGTGTGGCCCAATCCTGTTCTAGGCACGGCATGAGCCTTGCAAAAGAACCCATTCAGTCTGGGCCAATGTGTTCTTCTGCAACAGAGAAACCCAGAGAAACTGCAACGCTGAAAGGAAAGAAAGCCTTTCTGCAGCCTACGACAAGGCTCATTCTTGGTGCTAGCAGAAGCTGTGAGACCAAGCTCTCTCTTATTATGGTTGTTTTGTCCTAGCAATTCCTCTCTTGTTTACCGTATTTTTCGCCCCATAGGACGCACCGCCCCATAGGACGCACCTAGTTTTTTTTGGGGGGGGGAATAAAGAAAAAATATTATTTCCCCCCAGGCACGGGGCTGGCGCGGGGGAAGCTCGAGCTTCCCCCGACCCCTGACCCCAGCCCCCAGAACAGCCTGCTATCCGCAAGCCTTCGGAATGCAGGCAGCTCTGCGCAACCTTTAGGAGCCCAGCACGGCTTCCCGCCGGGTTCCCGAGGGTTGCGCAGAGCTGCGCAGAGCCCAGGAGGGCAGGGTCGGTGCGCACCGACCCCTCTCGCTCTCCAGGCTTCAGCGAAAGCCTGTATTCGCCCCATAGGACGCACACACATTTCCCCTTCATTTTTGGGAGGGGAAAAATTGCGTCCTATAGGGCGAAAAATACGGTAATTTAGTACAAGGGTGGCCAACAAAGTGACCTTCAGATTATGTTGGGCTCCAACTCCCATCAGTCCCAGCCAGGGTGGCCAATAGGCAGGGAAGATGTGTGTTGCAGTCCAACAACATCTGAAAGGCACCATGTTTGCCACCTGCTGGCATGTTTGCCAGCAGCTCACCCAGTCGGGCAGAGCCACAATGGTAGCTTTCTGTCTGAGCCATTGCTGTCACTTACTGGGAATAAGAGGTAGCAAAGAGGTCAGTGCAGTGTGTGAGGGGAGTGGTGAAGTCAATCCGGCACTCCACAAGTGCATTTGCACCGTGCCACCCTCCCAATCTTCTCCGCCTCCCTGGTAAGCCGCAGCAACCCTGCCCCCAGGAAGCTAACATTGCGACTCTGACCCACCAGGTGAGCCCCCTCTGCCCTAACACGGACAAAATACTAAAATTTCTTATTTTTAAGAAGATAAACACACTTGGAAGTATAGAAGCCCTTTCCGTGCAATTGCGGTTATAATACCTTGCAGCCTCAAGCCCATGAGATTTCCCTTTCCTAATAATTTTTCAGAGCTAACACATGACTAACCACAGTTATCTCAACTCACAGATCAGCACAACAGCCAACTGTGGTTTGGAGCTAACCCCGTGGTTATTAAAAAACACATGAAGAAATTATGGTTAACGGCTAACCCTTGGTGTATTTCAAAAATAAAAGGGAAGGGGAATCTGCACAAATGAAGGAAGTAATAAGAAAGGCTTAAGGAACTCCAGGATATGAAAATATGAAACAAAATATTACATATGAAAGAAAATATTAGGTAGTGTTGGGACTACACCGAATCCACAGAAGTGTCTCCCTGCAAAGTTTGCAGATCTGCACTATCATTTATGTCTAAGTTTCTACAGTCACTAATAAAACTTAGCATGTGTTATAGACCTAGTGTAGGAGGTGAGGAGAGGTTTGTGGGTTTTGTTTCCTTATGCAATACCAGTTACTAGCGTTTAAAAGAGTGGCTGGGGAAACCCAGCCAGATGGGTGGGACATTATTATTATTATTATTATTATTAAACTGATCACACACAATATACTTCAGTTACTATGTTGCTTTTGGCAGAATCAAAACAATGTTAGCACAATACAGAACTCTGAAAATCCACAGATTTATTCACCAATCATTCCCAAATCATTTTAGCAAATTTAAAAAAAAGTATATATGCTTACCAAATACTATTGCTTTAGCAAAAGGAGGAAACAATTCTGTATGCCTGAATAAGTGTTTATGAATCTGCCAGAGTTCTTTGTGCAATTTCTTAAAGTCACTGTATCTCTTCCAAACGACTATCTGAAGTGAAAACAGAAAACAAACACCCATGAGGCAATCATTCCTGCTAATTGAGCATTTACCAAGAATGGCAGAAACCAACACAGTAGCGCATTATACGTGCCCTATGAGATCTTTTTAAAAGTCACTAAACTCTTTAACTGCGGCTATTAATCAAATCTTGCCCTTGCTGTACGCCCACCCGCATCCCTGCGAAGTATCGTTCAGCCAATATATTAAGCAACAATTAATCTCCAAGGCAGTCCATAAACTACTTAAACTACACAAGCAGCTGCTGTGCTTGAACTTAAGCAATTTCCACCCCAATGAAAGGGCATTTGTGGATTTGGGTTAACAGAAGAAAGCTACTTTATACTGAGTCAGGCCACTGGTCTATCTACCTTAGTATTGTCTACTACACTGAGTGGCAGCAGTTCTGCAGGCTTTCGGGACAGTCCCCCCCCCCCCCATTTCAATTTGCTTTGTATTGTGCATTCATGATTATAGCACAGTCAGCAGAGCATGAAATTTTTAATCTCAGGGTCTTGGGTTTGAGCACCACATTGGGTAAAAGATTCCTGCATAGCAGGGGGTTGGACCAGATGATCAATTCTGTGATTTGTGGTATCAGGGCAGTTATACACGACCTTACTTTCAATGCCATTTGCACCTGCAAAGGTTTCAAGGCAGACATGTTGCCTCATTCCCAGTACGTGCATCTCCCGCAGCTTCCTGCTAAAATCCTGTGACTTTTTATATCATGAACATCCCCACAGGCGTGTGTCTCGCTTTTGCTGCACTATAATAACTCAAAGGTGCCCCTCCAAACAGCAATAGTAGAAGTAACATTGCGGGAGCATTGCAAAGCAACAAATAAAGCAGAATGATGCATAGACTATCCGGTACAAATCCACCCCAACACTCTATTTATTAAATCAATGACATGCTGCAGAATAAACCTGCAAAACAAAGACACACAAAAACCAGAAGTCTGGAGGGGCCCAACATTTCTTTCCCAGTCCTACATGAAAATGTCAGAGATTTGAACCTGGAACATTTGGCATGCAAGGAAGGCTCTACCACTGAACTACAGCCCTTCCCTCAATTCCTCCTTTGCAGCTCAAACATTATGCAACATGTATAAACATGGGCTGCAGAACGCCAGGAAAAGACACCCCCAGGACACATAAAATGATTTCTGGTTGCCTGGTCTCTGCTATATAAATTTTACTTTGTACTACCACATGCTCCTCACTTTGCTGGGCAGGAAGAAGTTCCAGGCATAGCGCTAACCTGGGGGTGTGACTTCCTATTGAAGGGAAGATCAATGGGGACTTGCAGCATTCTGTAATATCTGTTTTACTTACAAATATAAAGGCAGAACAAAGATTGGAGCCCTGGGCAACTGCAGGGTATTTTTCCAGGCCAGGACAAAGTAAAACACTAAAAGGCACAGTCTATAATTTCTCACACACAAAAGTGGGAAGAACATTTGCCTTTTATCTCTACAAATGCTGGAAAACACTCTTTTTGAAAAACAAAATAAAACCGAAAGCTTGGAATCTGGAGGTTACAGTTAACTGCTGAAGGGGCAACAGCCCGCATTGCCAACCCCCACCCCTGCAGTCACCCATAGTTGGAGGCAAACAGTTTGGCACTCTTGGCAGCACAGCCAGCGCCAGGCATGCCCAACAGGTAAATCGCAATCTACTGGTAGATCGCGGGGTGTTCCTGGTAGATCTCTGGCCCCTCAGTGATCTACGGTACTTCCCCCCCTAAAAGCTCAACAACTTTGGCTGGCCTCCCTCAAAAAGCGCAAGAACTTTGCCTTTCCAAAAAAAAGCTCAACAACTGAGGTCCATCCAACGGCAATGGGTAAATGACTGCCAGTTTTTTTATACTGTGAGTGGATCGCAGTCTATTGGGAGTTGGACGTCCCTGCGTTAGACAGAGTGAGGCAGCTGCTTCAGGCACCAGGTGGTTGGGCAGTGGTGGAAAGGTATCAAGGGACAGAGATATGCCTTTGCCCCCTGAAATAGCCTGCCACACCCACATGTGGTGGAGGCCGCTGTCCTCCACTACTGCTGAAGTAAGATTCAGCTGCCAGTCCAGCTGGATTCTGCGCACAGAATTTTGTTTGGAGGGGTGTATCTTGTCCTTTGCCTCAGGTGGCAGAATGCATTGGGCTGGCCCCGAGGGCAGTGAAGTCACTACCTCTAAATTATAATCTCAGAGAGGGGCACGCAGCATCCCAAAACGCTTCAGTCGTCAGCCAACTTTGTTTCAAAATCCATGTTTGTGTACATGTGTGTGCCTATGTCTGCACACCTGTATGACTTGGTCCCATCCACTTCGGGTTTGGGCCCTGTCCATACTGCAGGCCATTAACCCCTAACCAAAATGGTGGCTGGTACAGCTTGACCACTGAAGCATTACGGAACAGCAACCAGCTACTATGGCCCTTTGCTACCCCTTGGTTCAAAACCTCAGCCTCATTTGCAGCAGTTATGTAGCAAACTAACATCTTCGAGCGGATAATCCAGCAGAAGAGGAAGGTGCTACAAGGAATGCTAAGCATGGCAAAAGGGTTCTGTCTTATTGTATTTCTTTAACAGCAACCAAAAGTTAAAGGAAAGGGAGAAGAATAATGTCCACCCACAAGAACAGAAACAGAAAATCCACCACTAAAAATAATGATATGCTAAGAATATGTGGTCTGTGCCTATTCCACCTAGTTATAACATTTTTGCTGGAATGAAAAAAAATTAAGAAACCAGAGCAGCTCTTTGGTTAAGATGAAAACAAGAAACATTTGCCAATTCTTATGGTAAAGGGGGAGGGGATAGATAAAATTGATAAGGTGTTGAAGTGAGCAAATACAATGAGCCAAATTCACTGCAAAGTGAATCATGGAAGGTTCTTACTCTGAGGGAAGCCATTCACCTCAAAGATTTACATCAAGACTCATCCCTTTAAAGCTCCTGCCACTTTACCAGAGAGGGCCAGCCCTACTATAAGGCAGAGTGAGGAAGCTGCCTCAGTTGGCAGGTACTGAAGTGTATGAGGAGCATCAGAAAAGCCCCCATCTGACGGGGGCAGAGGTATGTGTGCCTCGTAGCCAGCCCTGCACCCCTTAAGCTAACTTGCCACCCTTAGGTGTGGTGGAAGTGTCAGTGTTTACTGTTTACTGTTACTTCCAGTCCAGTCACTTTCTGTAGGAGAAATGGAGATGGCCGCCATCTTGTCCTTCCTCTCAAGACGGCCCTGCCACAAAGTTCTAAATAGCCACCTACTTAAATTGCCCGTGGTAACAATTTTCTGAAAGCAACTAGACATAGAAGCTGCTGGGCTACTCAAATTGCAACACTATTCAAATTAAGAATAGGCTTTCTGGTGAGAAAACTCAGTGCTAATTCAGAAGATCTGAAGTGGACTGTTCCTTTTTCTAGAGCAATAATCAGGAGCAGACTGAGCAGGACCCAGAAAACACCAGGACACACCAACTAAGCATAGCTGAGGGCCTCAATGCCTTGCAGATTGTGTTGCCTCTTTCCAGTGGCAATTGGCAATGTGGTTTTTAACTTGCTTTTTTTCTCTCCGAAGAATTGGAAAAAACAGAAAGGGAGATACTGCTCTTTCCAAGTCTTGACACTTCTAACCCGAAGAGTAAAATCTGGATGATCATGGTTCATTTATTGTTATTGTTGTTATTGTTATTTATTATGTAATATATATTTTAAAATATACTGCACATAATACTAGCTTTAAGCAAAGCCAACTGGCAATCAAACAAAACAATTTAAACACAATTGCACTATCTATTAGCCAGATAATTTCCCTCATCTCCAAGTCTGGAAGTCAGACATTCCATATGGACAAATGGCAGGTTCTTTTCTGACAACGAACAGCGCATTTCACCCTGTACCTGGGCCAAAGTTTACACGTGAACAACTGTTTGGAAGCAAAAGACACTAATGGCTCCAAAATTATAAATTATGTGTGCTGTTGTTGCTGCTTTAAGAACATAGAAGAGGCCCTAAGCCAAATGAAGGCCTCTAGGCTTCTCTATCTTGCCCTCAGGACTCTCCCAAGGCCACATCCCTCCCTGGTCATACTTTGAGTCCCCCTTGAGTGCTTTTGCCAGGCTACACTGTGTATTTGAACTCTGATAAGTGCTTCCTCCTTGCCTACATGGGGGGTCAGAGTGGGATGTGTGAGTAAATTACCATTTGCTCCTAGCTCCACTTAGCACAGACCCGTGGCCCTCAGAGTGTTACCTAGAAGGGAAAGCAGCCCTTGAGCTGAAAAAGGTTCACCACCCCTGAAACAGTAGGTCTTGTTTCCATTTCCAACAGATTAATGGGATGGGGGAATCCCACCGGAATCACATCTCTGTTTAAAATGAACTGGCTCACACAAGACATTAAGCCAAACCCGTTTGAAAAGTAATTTTATTTCATGCAGAGAAAGGTTTAGGCATCAGTCTGAAATAGTGAATGTCTTAGAGTCAACTGCTGCAAACTTTCACATCAGCAGCATTTGCTGCTGCAAACAAATGCTTTTGGTATACCAGCATTATTATCTGCCTTCCGCATCTATATAAATTAAAACTCCCTGGTGATTTACCATGTATGGCACCTTAGTGTTTGCACTTTCAGAAACCATTAAGGCCCAGAAAGGAAATGCTTTGTTAATAAAGCCCCGGAGAAATGTCAAGGTTTGGGGATTGTACAACAGCAACAGAAAGTAAACTTACAATGGCTGATAAACTTACAATGACATATCATAAGAACATAAGAAAAGCCCTGGTGCATCAGGCCAAAGCCCCATATTATGCAACATCCTGGACTCACAGTGGACAAGCAGATGTCTATGGGAAGCCCACAAGCAGGATCTGACCTGCTTCTGAAAAGCAATCCAAAGTCAGACTAGTTGTGTCATCCAAACCCAAGCTTGTGGTTTCTTTCCTCCAAATAAACCACAAGTGGCAAGCCGAAAACAAACTTTATCTTCCGCTTATGGTTTGTCTAGAGAGAAACAAACCAAGAGCCCAGGTTCAGATGATGTGACAAGCCAGACCATGGCTTGTGTATTTTAACTATGGTTTAATGGGATGTGTGAACCAGGCCACGGTGTGCCTCGTGAATGTAACACTTATGGCTAGTCTGACAAAATGGCGGCTATGCTCTGCCTCCATAGTCAGAGGCAATAACACATCTGAAACCAGTTCCTGGAAAACGCAGGAGGCAGAGAGTGCTCTTGTGCTCAGGTCCTGTTTCTGGGTTTTCCACAGGCATCTGGTTGGCCACTGTGAGAACAGGGTGCTGGACTAGATGGGCCATTGGCTCAAAGATGATAATGGCAACCTGTTTTCACAGGTTATTTCCAGTTCAGGATCCTCCTTGGAAAAGGTGAACAGCAAGTTACAAACTAGAAGAAGACAAATATGGAAGAGAGTTCATTTGCTGGTCTGCCTTTGTCACAGACGTAAAGGTGAAATAGAAAAGGTCTGAGAAAGATTGTGATCGATGCAGGGATGGAGAACTTGTGGCCCTTCAGATTTTGTTGGGCTCCAACTCCCATCAGGTCAAGCCGGCATGACCACTGGGCCAGGCATTATAGAATTTGGAGTCCAGCAACATCTATGAAGGCTGCAGGTTCTCCACCCTCCACTGGGCAAACAAGGAAAAGATTTGGCAACTTGGTTTTACCCTTGCACACAGAAAGTAGGAAGCAAACAATTTGACAGTACTGGGATAATGTTTCTGTAATTAATCCATTTTTATATTTGTTCTTACTCAATGATCCATATCCAAGGACTGTCAAAATAAATCAGGTTGTTTCAAGTTCAAATTTCCCTCGTTGATAGATAGATGATAGTTGTTGTTGTTGATGATGATGATAGAGATAGATTAGATAGATAGATAGATAGATAGATGATAGATGATAGATGATAGATTTTACTAAATTTGCTATAAATAGGTGAACCAACTGAGTCTATGAAAAAATGTTTTATTTCTAGATTGTGGGTGAAGTGGGAGTGCATAATGCATCTTTCATTATGGCAAAGATCTTATTTTGAAATATTAAATATACTGTAGAAGCCACAAGGGAGAAGGCTTTGTGATATATCTACCCTGACCATCTTCCCAACTTTCCCTTCCACCCTCTTTCATCATTTCAAAATGCCTCTGCTAGAATCCCATCTCACTGAAATCATACCCACTTTATTCTCACTAAGCCTCTACTGCCAGCATACTGCCAGAACCTTGTGTTAAGCACTCCCAACTCTCCTTGACCTTACTCACCCTTTCTCACTCACCCCTCTGCCTACAGACCCATCTGCTCTTTTCAGTCCCTCTTGTCTGATTCTGCCTGCACCTTCCTACATTCTGATTTCTTGCATCATGCCCAGAAGTCTACTTTGCGTGCAGAAACAGCTTTCGATCTAAAGAGAATGTGTCTTTCTCATGCAAAACGTGTCGGGAAGCCTTGCATGAGGAATGTGGCAAGAAAAGACTGAGAAACATTGGTTCTTCTGTTTCATGCAGCCGGGTGAGCACTTCAGCAGTACGGGGGCTGAGCATCTCCCACCCCAAAACTGCACAAGTGGAATTATATTGCTCTGTTCACAGCCTCAGGCCTGGAGAATAAAGCTATCAGTGGCTAGTAGCTATGATTGCTATGTTCTGCCTTCATTGTCAAAGGCAGCATGCTTCTGTACGCCAGTTGCTGCAGGCAGGACTCAGGTCCTATTGCAGGCTTCACATGTGCAGATGCACATGTGGTCACCATAACAAGAAGATGCTGAACTGCTTTCACATCCACACCATACATGGTTTCCCCCAAAGAATCATGGGAAGTGTAGTTTATTCCTCACAGAGGGACAAACCCAGCACCCTTAAGAAAATACAGTGCCCAGGATTATTTCTGGGGAAGCCATGTGCCCTAACTGCATGGCATGGATGTGACCTGAATGGGCCTTTGGCCTGCTTGTGTTCTCATAAACAGCCCTCCTCCACTCATCAAAGCTTTTGCCCGAAGGTTTATGTGAAGACTTTCTCAGCTGCAAGTATTTTAGATTGTTCCGCTTCCCTTGGGAAAGAAGCCATAGCTCAGTGGTAGAGCACATGATGTGAATGAATAAAATCTCAGCTTTAATCCCGGAAATGTTCAGACAAAAAGTAGGAAATTATATGACAGACCTCTCTACCTGAGGCTTTAGGGAGCCACTGCCCATCAGAGAAGACAGTTTCCTACCTTCCTATCGTTGTTTCTCTTTTTGTCAACTCTGTTTTGCATCCTGTTAATCTTACATAATCACTTTCACCGCCTGGTGTTCAGATGGTTATGGATCACATCTCTCTCCAATTCTCCATCCATCATTCTGGTATTTGTTGTAGATAGGCTATTGAGTAGTTTCCCTGACTCTTAAGACGTTTTCAGAAAGTGGTGCTGTGCTTATGCTTTGGGGAGTTTGCATTGTTTTATCGTGTGTGTGTGTGTGTGTGTGTGTGTACTGTATTTGTCATTTTGGGCAAAACTTCATGGCCACCAGGAGTTCACAGTTATGTTGGGTAGGTAACACCCCCAAGGTAGGACCGAGGAACTCACTAATTTAACTAGAACTGTGCTAAGCAGTAATTACACAATGGTAGCTTGAAAGAGAAAAGTGCATTGCTACCCATTTCCTTAACAATCCATTAGGACTCTCTTTCAAATATCAGATAGATGATGAGGAACGTGTGTGTGTGTGTGTACATGTGGAGGTGTATGCACACCTGCACAGGAGGTCCCTAGACTTAGCCTGTGAGCAAATGACCGACTGAGGCAGCAGAAACAAGATTAGCCACCAATTGCCAATCTAGTCACTAAAACAGGAACAGAACTTACTTGTTCTATTTTGCAATATAAAAAGGCAAAACAGTTTGTGCCATACCTATGCTAGAACCAAAGATGCTTTAAAGAAAAAAAGTTTACCTCTTGGACATCTTCTGGATTTTTTCGAGAAACAATCTGAAAAACAAAAGCAAAGGCCCTGTCAGTGCTTGGATTTGTTAATGAGAGACACAGAGAGAGTATGCAAAAGCACCCAATGATCTAATATTGATTTTTAAAAACCCTTTCTTTATTTGGGGCTATGCTTGATTAGGATTACACTCATCCATCCCAGTCTTGATATCCACACATTCCAGCATCATATCTGCAGAGGGGTTTATACACGTAGAAACCAATTCATGTGAGTCCCATAGAGTGCAGCTGACGCCTATGCAGATTGAATTCAATGCACTTCGGACCGTATGAGAACATCATGATCCAATGCAAGGCAGAGAAAGAGAACCCAATCCTATCACTCTCAGTGTGTGTTGTCTTTGCAAACTGTCTTCAAAATAACATGCCATTTACAACACCACATTCAGCGTATTTTTGTACCGTAGGCAAAAATGCAGAAGTGTAAGGGAACAGAAAGGCAAGTCATTAAACAATGGAGTTCAACCGCATGATAAGAAAAGAAACCTCTTTTTCCTCTTCATCCTCCTTCTTTCCCTCTTCATCAGTAATTTTCAACTTTCCCCCACACCAATCTACTAATAAGCCCCTGTGTGCCTTAACACAGAAGCTCCCTGTACGGTACCATATTCTAGGGAATATTCTAAGGTGCATCGTCAGTTCACAAGACAAGCAGGCCAAGACCTCAGCATTGCCCAGTACGAACGGAAAGTACACCCTAGAAAGCATCCAAAAGTCACCTGCTGAATTACTAAAGCTGGAAATGTCTCCGTCTGGTGTTTCCTGCTGGATGGGAGAACAACCAAAATAAAGCTTGCAGGTAAAAGGGGGGATGCACTGTAGGTGAAACAAACCAACCAGCCTGAATGCATACACTGGAACCTACTTAAGTTTTTCTTTTCTTTTTTAAAAATTTATTTATATTTTTCAATGTTACATTTTTTTCAAAACCACATTCACATTAAAAGAAACATTTCCACATTTATATCTTCCTTTAAAATAAACCAATTTCCATTCTCATTCACAACTTCCCTTCTTCCCCTTCCAGCATATTCTTGCACAGCCATTTAACTCCCCTATTACCTTTACCTTTACTAACATTTTCACATGTTTACAGTTGTTTTTCAGATACGACACAAAAATTTTCCATTCATCTTTATATACTTCATCTTCTTGTTCTCTTATTTTACTTGATTCAAGTAGGTAGCCGGGTTGGTCTGCCGTAGTCAAAATAAATTAAAACAATTCTTTAAAAAGATAGTTTAAAAGACTCTTCTTAAAAACCTAAAAACTCCCTTAAAAGAATCAAGTCTTCAAAAAAGTTATACGATCTAAGAAAGTCTTTAAAAGAATCCTTTTAAAAGAATTTAAAAATTATAAAGTAGCACCTTAGAGACCAACTGAGTAGTTTTAGGTACAGTACAGTATAAGCTTTCGTGTGCATGCACACTTCTCCAGATACTTATTTTACTTGTTAGACCTGCCAGCTCTGCATAATCTGTCATTTTAAATTGCCAATCCTCCTTACAGTCATACCATGGAAGTCAAACGGAATCTGTTCCGTAAGTCTGTTTGACTTTCAAAACCTTCGGAAACCAAAGTGCGGCTTCTGATTGGCTGCAGGAAGCTCCTGCAACCAATCAGAAGCTGCGTAAGCCCCGTCGGACATTTGGATTCCAAAGAACGTTCGCAAACCAGAACACTCACTTCCGGATTTGTGGTGTTCGCCAAAACGTTCGACTCGCAAAGAGTAGTAGCATCCAAGCTACTACTGTATTTGGGACCTCACTCAACCGCCATTTCTGGGCTTACAAACCTGATGATGTTTTTTGTTCTGCATGCAGGACAAGCAGCAGCAGCAGCTGGAACCTTAGGCAGCTACTGGGGTCCCAGTGCTCACTGCCAATACCACGTCTGAGACCCCCATGCAGGCAGTTTGACCTTAGAGCCACAAGCTCTTTAATTAGATGCCCCAATCCTTAGAAGGCCGCAAACAGGCTGCAGGGCTCAAGTGATAAAAAGGCTAGCCCAATATTATGAGGGGAGGGGGCCTTTTTTTAATTCACTTTCTCCACATCAGAGATAATTTTATGAACTTCTAGCATGTTGTCTCTTAAGCAGAGGTTGGATAGCCATCTGTTATGGATGCTTTAGCTGAGATTCCTGCATTGCAGGGGGTTGGACTAGATGACCCTTGGGTCCCTTCCAACTCTAAGATTCTATTATTCGCCTTTTCTTAAAGCTAAAAAGTCCCAAGATATTCCTTTCTTTGTTTTGGCATTTATATTCCACCTTTTTGTGCCAAATCAAGGTGGCATGCAGAATCTTTAAAGATATAATGGCATATAGAGATGGATGCTAAAATGCACAACAACATACTCCAGTAAAATACCACAACAACACACACCAGGAACAGCAGATAAAAATGCATCAGCCCACAGGCTCTAATTAAAAAATGCCTGGTGAAAGGAAGCAGTCTTAAGAGCCCATTTAAAAGGCCAAAAAAAAAAATAACCACACAGCCAAACCTTCAGTATGCTCAGTAGAGATCTATACAAATCCTCTTCAAGTGTTACTAAAGAGAGTTAACACAAGCGAGGGCTTTTTCCACTCCAGTTCTCACCTCCCTCCAATTGTGGAGGTTACCTCTATGAAATGGGGAGCCTTCTGCACTCTTAAAGGCTGATTTCCCAGCATTTTAAAACACAGAAACCTCCACAAGCATAGTAAGATCCACGCTTCAGAAGGTCAGCTTCCACAAGTTGGGAAGGCAAGAAAAGTGCTGAGCAATATCGATTCATATGCTGTCAGTGGGCTCCTGTTGTTGTCTTGTTGGGCTGTGTACGTAACAAAGGGGAGCCACAGCGGGGTGAAGGCGTCATCTTTTGTTTGTCCCCTACTGTTTCCCATACAGTTTGGTACCAGTGGTCCATGTTTACTCCTGACAGGTCCCTCCAGTGTCCAGCTATGATGCTACCTCTGGGATAGCTCAGTCAGTAAAGCATGAGACTCTTAAACTCAGGGTCATGGGTTCAAGCCCCACATTGGGCAACATATTTCTGCATTGCAGGATGATCAGTGTGGCCACTTCTTCCAACTCTACAATTCTGTGATCCCTGGCTGCTGAGAGAAGGTGGCTTATGAGTTCTTTGTAGCGTGTGTTATTGTCTTGGAAAATATTCAATAGGGCCAGTTCTGGAGTGGCTTCCAGTACCTTTTTTTGTTATTTTGCATATTTCTTGGAAGACTGGATGATCTGTTAGAAAGAACTCTATGAACTGATAGCACTGATGCTGTATGTACTTTTGAAACCCAAGAAAATCTTTAATAGAAACAATTTAAAAGAAAAGAAAGGTGCGGAGCTAGTACTGTACATTCATCAACCCCACTGCCCCGCACTCCCAGCTGATAACTTTTGCCACTTTAGCAACAATTGAAAAGGACTATGTTGTTGTTGTTTGTTGTTTAGTCGTTTAGTCGTGTCCGACTCTTCGTGACCCCATGGACCAGAGCACGCCAGGCACCTCTGTCCTCCACTACTTCCCGCAGTTTGGTCAAACTCAAGCTGGTAACCTCGAAAACACTATCCAGCCATCTCGTCCTCTGTCACCCCCTTCTCCTTGTGCCCTCCATCTTTCCCAGCATCAGTGTCTTCTCCAGGGAGTCTTCTCTTCTCATGAGGTGGCCAAAGTACTGGAGCCTCAGCTTCACGATCTGTCCTTCCAGTGAGCACTCAGGGCTGATTTCCTTAAGAATGGATGTGTTTGATCTTCTTGCAGTCCATGGGACTCTCAAGAGGAAAAGGGCTATAGACAAACCCAATTCTGCAGGCAGCTTGTGTGTGATGGATCAGGGCAATAACCTTTGTACCCTTAAGGCAACTCTTAATGAAAGTGTTCAGTGGTACTTGCAGCGAGTGGTCAGTGGTCATTAAAATGTTCCAATACCACTCAGAGGAGCATAGAAAGTTGCCTTAAAGAGAGTCAGACCATCCATCCATCTGGATCAGTAATGTCTACACTGATTGGTAGCACCTCTTCAGGGCTTCAGATAGGGATCTCTCCAAGCCGAACCTGGAGATGCAGGGGATTATTTTTTTCTCTGCATCCACTCAACCAACCACAGCAAGAAGGCAGCACACTTAAAAAGTTAAATTCAACAAAGGCTCTGATGGACTTTAGAACTCAAACTGCTAAAGGTCTCCCAATCTGCTTTCATGCTGGGCTGCCTGTCCTATGGCTGCACAGCCCTTTGGTGACATCACAGCAACTCAACCAATGTCAGTCCGCAATTCCCAAGACTAAGCAATCCTACCATCACAGGAAGGCCGATTCAGATTATCACTCATTTCACAATACAACCTGAGAAGACTGAGAGCATTCTAAGGAAGCTTACCGTCAAAGTTTTAACTCCAATTCCAGCATGTTGACATGTAAGCTCAGTTCATGCCAGCAGCTTCAAGCGCCACCAGCGCTAAACTCTGTACTGCTGGCTGGCACTATTCTGTGACAAAAACGAGGAGACCTTACGTAGATGCTTGTTGTTAACATTACTTTAACAAGCACTATCCCCCTGGTATTTGAAGCTTTGGATGCATTTGCTTTGGTTACTCGGGAACCAAATAAAACCAAGGGAGCATGATGCAATGAGCAGGGGGAGGAAAAGAATCCCAGCCTCTTTTGGAGACTGTTATCGTGGGTGTGAGCAGGTGCGCTGGGTCTTTTCTTTAACCTTGCTTGGGCGAGTGCATTTAAAATCCAATTCTCTTAAAGAGCAAGGGCCTGCAGGTTTTAATATATTGATTTAAGAGCATTTATCTATAATTGTGGAACAGTTCTGGCTTTCACTGTTTACATTTCACATGCCTTGCACAATCTTTACGCCCCTCTTCCTCTTTGTCTCTCTCACAAACATATACCCCACTTCACCTCAGGCTTACAATGAAGTAACTGAATTGTCTTGGAAATTTAACAGCCGGGTTTTCTTATCTACCATCCTCCTGGACAAGCCTGTTTTCTTATCTCTTGAGAGAAAGGCACTGTTGAATTTACCACCAGGAATGGACAACAAACGGCCCATCATATGCACCCTACATTTAAAGTACTACCATACCACTTTTAACCGTTATGGCTTTCCCCCAAGGGATCCTGGGAACTGTATTATTATTATTAATTATTATTATTATTATTACTATTACTATTTACATGTGTTGCCTCAGGAAGATTTTCGGTATCACATGGCAGGACAGAGTTTCAAGCAAATATGTGCTCTCCTGGGCCCACATTCCCAGCATGTTTGCACTCCTATCTCAGCAACATCAACGCTGGCTTGCTCCCGTCCACAGAATGGAAGACAAGAGGTCCCCCAAAGGTGTGCTCTATAGGGAGCTGGCTTCTGGCACCAGGTTCACTGGCAGACCAACTCTGTGTTTCAAAGATGTTTGCAAACATGACAGGAAAGAACATCACACCTGCCAGGTCGCAGGACAGGTTCCAACAATGAAAACACTGTAGTTGGTTAAGAGTGATGGGAATTGTTAGGAGACCCCCGATTCGCCTCACAAAGCTACAGTTTCCAGAGTTTTGTGAGGGGAATAAGCAGTGCTATTTTTCTAGAAAAAGAGGTGCGAGAACTCACTATGAATGCCTTCCTTGTTCTCTTATAACGGCAAAGGAGGCCACCTGAGAGGTGCCCTGGGAATAAAAGTTTTCTAACAATTCTCAGCACCCTTAACTAACTACAGTGCCTAGGATTGGGATGGAGGGGAGTTATGACTGTTTAAAGTGGTATTATACGGCTTTAAATGTAGGGTTTGGGTGTGGCCCAAGAGACTTGTGGTATATTAAAGGCTAACAAACTTCTTGGGACAAACACAATCATGGGCTGAAGCCCACTTCCTCAGATGCGCAAAGCGAAATCTTAGTTGGCAAGTACAGTGGTACTTCAGGTTAAGTACTTAATTCGTTCCGGAGGTCTGTTCTTAACCTGAAATTGTTCTTAACCTGAAGCACCACTTTAGCTAATGGGGCCTCCTGCTGCTGCCGCGCCGCCAGAGAACGATTTCTGTTCTCACCCTGAAGCAAAGTTCTTAACCCAAGGTAATATTTCTGAGTTAGCAGAGTCTGTAACCCGAGGTACCAATGAATACAGAGAAAAATTACAAGGTAGGAGTCAAATGGGCACCAAGATGCAAAAAGTAGAGGCAGTTATAACTAGAGTTTAAATGTTTGTTAAACCGGTGCACCTTTGATAGTAGCAGGTTGGTGAATGTTAGGAGGAGCAGAGCAGATAAAAGAAAGTACTTCTTCATACAGCACACAGCTAAACTATGGCACTGGTTCCTACAGAAGGCAGTGATGGCTACCAACCTAGATGGCTTTAAAAGAAGAGTAGAGAAAGTCAATGGAGGACAAGGCTATCAATGAATACCTAGCCATGATGGCTATCTCAGCTGTCAATACCAATTGTTGGGAGCTGCAAGTGAGCAGACTGCTGTTGCCGTCATGTTCTGCTTGCAGGCTTTCCATAAGCATTTTGGCTGGCCTCTGTGAGAACACGATGCTGAACTAGATGAGCCATTGGCCTGATTCAGCAGGCTCTTATGTTAATAAAATACACACACACACACACACACACATATATATGAAATAAAAGCAGCAATAGTAATGCAACATAAAATCGTTATGAATACTTAATGCAGGCATGCCATGGAAGCCTGCGGATCACAGGTTGTCCACAAACCACAGTTTGGGACACACACACACAACAGTTGTAATAACTACTGAAAGGAAAAGAAAGCAACATCTAATCCAGGCTGTACCAGGTTTATTTGACTGTAGTATCTCCGTCATCGAGGGACGCGGGTGGCGCTGTGGGTAAAAGCCTCAGCGCCTAGGGCTTGCCGATCGAAAGGTCGGCGGTTCGAATCCCCGCGGCGGGGTGCGCTCCCGTCGTTCGGTCCCAGCGCCTGCCAACCTAGCAGTTCGAAAGCACTCCCGGGTGCAAGTAGATAAATAGGGACCGCTTACAAGCGGGAAGGTAAACGGCGTTTCCGTGTGCGGCTCTGGCTCGCCAGAGCAGCGATGTCACGCTGGCCACGTGACCCGGAAGTGTCTCCGGACAGCGCTGGCCCACGGCCTATAGAGTGAGATGGGCGCACAACCCTAGAGTCTGGCAAGACTAGCCCGTACGGGCAGGGGTACCTTTACCTTTTTATCTCCGTCATCACGATTGGAAACTCACATTTTTTCCAAGGACAGATAGGGAATCAGGTGGATACCATTTTAAAATAATAATAATAATAATAATGAGTATTTTATGGAAACCATTTGGAGGCTGCTTTTGTTAAAAGATATATAAACCTTGCAAAATAAATATATTAAATTAACACCAGTATAGCCTGCATATAATGCTACTTTCTCCCAGCAGTGAGAATGTGGGCTGGATTGCAGGAGAAGAGAGATGAGAGTCCAAGACTCATAGCAGATGAAGGTTTCTCCCAAGTAATGTCTGAATGAGCCCTTGTCTCTTAACGGAGATGTAAGGGAGCACAGAATTTCAAAAGAGGCTATTCTCTGATAGGTGCCAATCTATTATTTATTGATTACTTATTTGTTGCTTTTATATCCCATGTTTTTTCTCCAAGGAGCTCAAATTCCTGACATAGTACTCCCCCTTGTCATTTAATCCCAACAACCCTGAGGGAGGTGTGGCAGAGAGCCAGTGGCTGGCTCAAGGTTACCCATTGAACTTCATAGCCAAGTAAGGATTTGAAACCTCATCTTCCAGGTCCTATGCCACTATGCCACACTGGGTCTCAAATAAATGTTAAAATATGGGTGGGGAGATCAAGACATAGGAAATATGACTTTTTTTTTTTTTTTTGCTTTCATTTGAGTTAGGCTGTCATCTGTGCAAAAAAACCAGCTCTTCCTTCATTTTCAATAGCACAGATGAGAGGACATGGTCTCTTTGCATTGTACTCAAGGACCAGGTCTAGGAAAAAAAATGGGTGCTACTATACCATCAAAACCTGGCTCTGCCCTTTGAGCTGGAAGCCCAGATCAAACCATAACCTCCTGTTGCCCTTTGGACAACCAGGCCCATCCATAAATCAGGCACAACCACAAACTGCTTCCCATCTCTACACCTATAGCAATGGCTGTCCCTTCTGACCTAGCCTTACATAATGCAGATTTTGGCTCTCTCCCCAAACACATCTCTACCGGAGGAAGCTCACATCCCTGACCCAATGTTCAAGAAGCCAGTCCCTCCGTGTTCGGCGGTGTTTATCCCAGGTTAAGCATGCAGAGGCCTGCAGTGTTATTCCTACATCCCATCCACTCCTCTGAAGATAGAGGATACTGACCTCCCCTCCAGATAAAACCCACATGCATGGAAAGGAGGGAAGAGAAGGCTCTGAGATGGAAGGGAGATGCCTTGATCCCTCCTACCCCCCAAACTGGGTACTTCTGGAGTGGGTTCCGAGTGGAAATGCGACTCCCTCCATTCTATAGAGCAGGGGTCAGCAACTCTTTCAGCCGTGTGCCGGGCCAGACTATAGGGGGGGGGTGAACGAATTCCTATGCCCCATAAATAACCCAGAGATGCATTTTAAATAAAAGGACACATTCTACTCATGCAAAAACACGCTGATTCCCAGACCGTCCGCGGGCCAGATTGAGAAGGCGATTGGGCCGCATCCAGCCCACGGCCCTTAGGTGGCCTACCCCTGCTATAGAACGAGGAAAAATGAATAGAGATGTCGGGGAAGAAAGAGAATCAATGCTCGCTCTCTCTGCCGCCCACTCACTCCTCTCAGCAGATGGGGGGGAGAGAGAGAGAGAGAGATGGACATCTGCTTGGAGAGAGGACGAGCAAAGGCATCCCTGTAAGAGGCCATGGCGCTGTGGCAGAAGCACATGCCCACCGGGCGTTGCCAAAAGAGGTCCTGGGTTCCAATCCTGCCTTCTCCGGCTTCGGAAGATGCCGGAAAGCCGCTGCCCGCGAGCCGCACGGACGACCTGCCTACTTGCAGGCAGGCAGGTTCCCAGGATCTCCCTGCCCGTGGCGGAGATCAGAAGGGGAAGGATCCCGTTCGTCACCCCCGAACCTAATCAAAGATTGCATGGAAGACGGCCTTCCCATTTCTCTTTCTCTTTCCCTTTGCTTCCCAAGGCTCACTCACCCGCGCGGTGACCTTATACAGGGTGTATCCCCGAGGATGGCGCTTGGGTTCGGTGACCGTGTAGAACCGGGCCACGTCCCCGCCTCGTCCCTGCGGGGAGATCATCCTTGCTTGCAGCGGGCCGGCAGGAGGTGCGGAGGCCGTGGCTTCCTCGGCGCCGGCCCAGCGCCGCCCGGCTGCTGCAAAGATCCACTCCCGGGTCAGGCCCGAGCCGGCGGCGGAAGCGATGGGAGAGAAGGAGCGGCGGCGGCAGCCGCTAAAGCAGCGCCTCTCCTCTCCTCCGCGTGGATCCGGTGCGCGACGCAGCTCGCCGGCCTGCCTCTCTTTCCTCCCCCACCCGCCCTGCCCGATCCTTCCCGCGGGGGTCGGGATGGAGCCTCCCCACCCACACACGCCTTGGAAGGAGAAGCGCCGGCAGTCAGGCCGGCTGGGTTGTCCCTCGGAATGTCCAGGGGCGCATGACTGTGCGCGCGCGACCCTTTTCAGAATTAGGAGGGAAAAAAGGTTCCTCTGCTCAGAGTTTAATTTGAGAGAAAGTACAGTAACACGAAGACGCGGGGTTGTTGTCCTTTCCCACCACCTCTTCCGCTTTTGGGGGCGCTCTTTCCGCAAGCCTAAACATGTTTATTCGGAAGTAAGTCCTTCTTGCTCCCAAATAAAACGGTGCGTAAATGCGCAGTCTTAATCCTGACTCACGATTTCTAATAATGATGCGTTTTATGTAGCGTTTTCTCATGTCCCTGGCATGTCGCATACACACTGTCTCGATGTAGGCCTATGCACAACAACCCTGCAAGGAAGATCTGTATTATTATTCCCAGAGGGGGGGATTAAGAGAGAGATTAAGGCCATTTAGTAAATCCAGGACAGATGTCTAGCCAGTAGACCACACCAGTTCTATGTATTTATTCAGTGGTGGCGAGTGAAATAGACTCTGCACCTGCTCTGGCAATTTAAATCTATTTTTATTTCCTACGTGCCAGGGTTTAATCTTGCAACTGAAAAAAGATGCCAAGACTGAATGAAGCCCTGTATTTATGCATGGGTGTAGCCAGGGCAGGGGCGGGGAGAGGCAGCTGTCCCCCATCAATAAAATTCAATAACAATACGTAGCAAACTGAGGTTCTGCAGCCCCCTAACAAAAGATCTGACCCCCTCCAGCAAAAATCCTGGCTACGTCCATGCATTTATGACTTCTTACATCTACACATAGCTACCAAGGTTATAGAATATTTAGTATTTATGAGGTTGGATGGCCATCTGTCATGGATGCTTTATGTCCCTGAAAAACCAGTTGCTGGGATAGCACTGTAGGGGGTGGAGAGCACTGTTGAACTCAGGTGCTGCTTGCAGGCATCTCATGGGCTTGTGGTTGGCCACTGTGGTCAACCACAGGATGTTGGAGTGGGTTGGCCCTTGGCCTGATCCAGCAGAGCTCTTCTGACATTCTTAGGAAGTGCATATCCTTTCCAAAGGATCCCCTAAAAGCTACAGACTACAATTTGTCCTCTGGAAGAAAGGCTTTGTGGTCTCAGATGTGCTATTTTCTATGCACCTATTATTACAGTGGTGCCTCGCAAAACGAAATTAATTCGTTCAGCGAGTTTTTTCGTCTTGCGGTTTTTTTCGTCTTGCGAAGCAGTGTTGGAAAAGCTTCAAAAATCACCAAAGTCTTCAAAAACCTCAAAAAAGGCTACCACACCGCGTGCTATGAGTTGCTCCTCGAAGTCAAGTCGCAACTGTATTAACAGTTTTAAGAAAAAGGAAACAAACTTGTAAGACGTTTCCGTCTTGCGAAGCAAACCCATAGGGAAAATCGTCTTGCGAAGCAGCTCAAAAAACCAAAAAACCTTTCATTTTGCGAGTTTTCCGTCTTGCGAGGCATTCGTCTTGCGAGGTACCACTGTAATTCTCTTTTCACATCTCTGTATGTGAGCACTGTGAGCAGTCTGTTGAGTTTTAAAGGTGGGGAACGGCTGGAGCATAACTCTGCTTTGAGGTCACACTCTCAGCACTGGAATCCCTGGCTAAGCGTAGAACTTGACATCTGTCCCTGTTGAAATTCATTTTGTTAGTTTGGGCCCAGTTCTTCAATCATGATTTAGGGTGGAAAGAAGACTGTATTCAAGAACTGATTTACAAACAATATTTATACTGAAGCTTGAAACGTTGACAGCTATGGTCAGGTGTGAAGCCAACAGCCATACAGACAGGTCTAGTTTAGGAATTATTGGTCTATTTACCGGTAAATATGCATTGCACTTATACAGTATTTACCTTTTGTGCAATGATTGAAATATACTATACACTCTATAGTTCTCTCCCTCCTATCCTCACAACTGTATGGCAGGTTGGACTGAGAGATAGTTACTGACCCAAGGTCACCCACTGAGTGAGAATGTGAACCTTGGACTCCCCAGTCCCAGGCCCACATTTTAGCCAGTATGCTATACATAGCACTATGCTGCAAATTCAGTTAGTTATTGTAACTAGGTGTGTGCTTTTAGATTACTAGGTCACCGTTTATCCACATCCATAGCTTACCACTTGATTTATTTGCCATTCAGCTAGGTACTCCCTTTTAAAGCAACAGACTTATTTCACTTTAACTCCTTTTCAGCTCAATTTATTATTATTATTTTAAAAATTGTTTCAATACTGTTTTGATACTTGATTTTAATGTACACCATCCAGAAATCCATGTTTTGTATAAAGGCACTGATTAGAAATTTTCAAAAGAAATAAAAATAAGCAATTATTGATTTCGCTATATTACCCACTCTTCACCAGGAGGTTCCAGAGGCAGTTACAACTATTTAAAATTCAGCATTAAAAACAGAGCAATTTACAGTCATGGGAATAGGGTGGGCCCTGAAACAAACACACACACACACACACACACACACACACCAGGTACCAAATTTCAGGATAAAGAGATGCATCTTCAGCAGTCATTGAGAACTGTACAGTGAAGATGCCAAACACACCTCTGTGGGGAGGTAACTGCACAATTTAGGAGCTGTCACAGAAAATGCCCTCTCCTGGGCTATCACCCCCTCAAACTTCTAAGGGAAGTGGAGATACAACCCTCTAATCATAAAGGGGGCAGTCTCACAAAAATTTGGGGCCTAAGCCTTCTAAGGATTTAAACATTAGTGTGAGCACCTTAAATTAGGCCCAGAAACAACATGGAAATTAATGCAGATGTTTTAGGACGGCGCCTACCGTATGTAAGTTCTAAAGGCAGCCACTTGACCGCTGCACTTTGGACTACTTGAAGTTTCTGAGTTGTCTTCAAGGGCAGTCCCATGTAAAGCACACTGCAGTAATCCAATCTGGAAGTTACCAGAGCATGGAGTACCTTGGTCAAGGCATCTCCAAGTACAGGTAAAGAATTAAAATCTTGATGCCAGAAGTTAACTGTGAACATACTACCCCCTTGGGTATGCACTTAAGATTAATTAATGTCAATCAAAGCCACCACTTCATAATCATGCACTGAACAGTGAGGTAAATCACCTTACTCTGATTTTTTAATGTATTTTGCCATAGTTTCATTAGCTGCATAATTTAACATACCGCATATAGTGATGTCTTTTTCATTTATTATTCCTCCAAAGACCACATGCACAGAACTTGTAAGGGCCATTTAGAGTTCATTTAATAATAATTTGTTATTTATATATTATTATATATATATATATTTTCTAATTACCTTTATATCCCACCTTTCCTCTAAGGAGCTCAACAGTTATTAGGTAACCAATTTCAAAGTTGTTTTGTTTAGTAAATACAAATAAAGCAAAAATGTTGAATTAGATCACTCTCTCATCAGAAAACTTTCTGATGCACTGAAAAAAATCCAGATGCAAATTATCCTAATTTGTTTAGAAAAAATCTCCAGTTCTAAATTTTCCAGAAAACCCACATCACTGATTAAGATTGGTGTTTTGTGTGATCACAATAGAACAATGGTTCCAAAGTTCTAGGTCTAGCACTACAGGTTTCCATGGCAATTGTGATTTGGTTCCAAGAGGACCAATTCTGCCCTCACAGTTCGCCAACTATTGTTTCATTTAAAGGTAGAACTAGATGTGGAACCGCATCATGGCCATAAGGTGAGTTTCTTAGCTAGTTAGAACTCATTTGATTGTTCTGTTACTGGGTTCTGTGTATGTTTGTATAAAAATTTAAGTCATAGAATTGTAGAGTTGGAAGGGACTATGAGGATCATCTAGTCCAGCCTCCTGTAATGCAGAAATCTTTTGCCCAATGTGGGGCTTAAACCCCCATACTGTGATTAAGTCTTGTGCTCTACCAACTGAGCTATTCCACTATGCGCCATTGGTTTTATACTTGCAAACTACTTAGAAGCATATTCTGACATTAAGCAGTACATAAATATGTTGAACGGGACTCACTCCCAATGTGATTGTGCATAGAGATTGCCACCTGTTCAATTGGGCAAACTCCTAAGTGTGCATAGGACAGCAGCCTCCATCTCCCCCCCCCCATTATATTGTCAAGGTGTACAGTTTGCATTCACAATGTCTATATAAAACTGCCATTTAATGTTATTTCCTTACCAGTACTAGGTAGATATTTATAGTTTAGACTGTATTTATTTAGCATAATCCATAAAGCGATATTGGCCCCAGGAAAGAATCACAGCATATTCCCTTTTGCACTAGAGGCACTGATGCATCTCTTTGGTATAATAAAAGCGGCACCTTTAAAAGTTGCCACCCATGGCAAATAGTAATTCATTCTAGAGTGATAGCACATTAACTATGAGCAATTCCCACGAGGGTCTCCTGTGTTAGCCTCATTGAAATGGACTGGAGCACTTAATTCCCATTCATTTCAGTGCACTTCATATGGGAGCGCACCATGCTCCATGTTGCTAAGTAGGATGTGGGATTATTTATTTATACGCCACCCTTCCAATACCTTATTAGGACAGCTTGCTATTAAAAACAGCATAATAGCTTTTAAGGTAACTTTCAAACACCAAATCTACAAAAGCAGTACAGTATACATATAATCCCCCTAGGTACCAAATACAGCATCTTGAGCCAGCCCTGATGTTCATCCTTTTTGTTTTACTCTTGGAAAAGGCAATAGTAGCTGTCTGTTAAGAATAGCAGAAGTTGTGGTCCTGCAACACACAGTCCAGCAGTTGATTGTAGTGGGTTTGTGCCCAATCCATGATGAAGAAACTCAGGGGATCACACTCAGTTTACATCAGAATCGTCGTCTGACCACATTAGCATCACACTGGGTGCCTTTAGACTGGCCACTGTTTCTCAGTCATAGAACTGTAGTTGGATAGGATTCTGAGAGTCATCTAGTGTCCCTCCAGGGGACCTGAACCACCAACCTTCTGTTAAAACAACCTGACACACTGACTCATTGTGCCACCAGATACAACCTCCCTTAGTGTGCTGTACATGAACCATGTACACAACCCTAGAATCGTAGAACTGAAAGGGACCTGGACACCCCCAAGGGTCATCTAGTCCAACCCCCCTGCAGCAAGGAAGCATAACAAGAACGAAATAACCAAAATAGCAACTTAAAATATAAACAGGTGTGTGAAGTGCGGAAAGGAAAAACTCATTTATTTACAATAATCCCGAACCCCTTTTGTCAAGATCGGTTTCGGACCAGTTCGACACACTTAAAATGATAGGCAGGAAGTGCATTCCTCTCTCGGGTTTAGACGGCAAAGACGACCCAGGGCCAAAAGCTCCAGCAGCAGACAAACTCCCTTCACGGTCGGGGAGGCTCTTTCGGGTCTTGTGTACTGCACGTGCATAGTGGGCGGTCGCCCCCCCCCCCAAATCCTGCTCCGTCCCCCTCGGGCTTGCTTTCCTTTCGGCTCGACGGCTTCCAGCCCCTCCTCACTGGAGGTTGCGGCCCAGGTACTGCAGGAACATGCCTCCCAGCTGCGGCAGGTCGCCCTCGCCTTCACCCGGGTGCATCTTGGCGTAGCTGAGGAACTGCCTCCGGAGCCGGCTCAGCTCCGCCAGGCTGACGGGCCGGGTCAGCAGCAGCCCCGGAGGCTCCCCGCCGCCGGCCTGCGACAGCCCGTCCACCGCCAGCGGCACGAACTGCCCCGGCTGGGCTCCGTTCCTCTGGGCGGCCATGAGGGCGGCCAGCACGTCCTGCGTGAGGCGGTCGAGGCGGTGCAGGAAGCCGGCGGCCTGCAGGGGCTGCGAGCGCGTGGACTGGTTGGGCGGCGGCGGGCGGCGCTCGAAGAGGGCGGCGCGGATCTCGGGCCAAGGCAGCGGCTCGGCGGGGTCGGCGGGCGCCACGAAGAGCGGCCAGTCCCAGCGGTGGCGCGAGTCGGGCGGCTCCAGGGGAGGCCGGTCCGGGCGGGCGGCGCCTCCCGGGCACAGGAGCACGCAGTGCGGCGTCCCCGCGTGCTTGCTGAGGCAGTAGAGCTCGTAGCGGAAGCTCTTCAGCTCGGCGCCCGAGTCCACCAGCACCACGTCGCGGCGGCTCAGCAGGCGCTCGGCCTCCGCCCTCAGAGCAGCCCGAGCGACGCCGTCCCCGCCGCCGGCGCCCAAGTCGGCCTCGGCCACCACGAAGACGCGCCGCTCTGAGGCCTCCTCGGCGCTCAGCGCCGCCTTCAGCTCTTCGGCGCGCCGGGTCTTGCCGCTCCCCGGCAGCCCGCAGAGGACGACCAGCGGCATGGCGTCTCTCTCCGCCTCAGTCGCAAGCCGGGCCGGCTGTTATCATCTTCCCCCTCAGGGCCTTTCTTCCCGGCACAAAAATGGCGGCGGAGGCGTTAATGTTGCCCTTAAGAAAGATCGTTCCCGAGAGATTATTCGCCCCGCCTTCCGCTCTTCTTTGAAGTGTTCTACGACGACGTCTATCCACGGACCATAGAGATAGGAAAAATTAGAGTGTGGAATCCTAACGATACTTCCAAACTCGCCTTTAGAGTAGAACTCGTCCTACGGAAATGGCAATTGATAGAAAACAACAAAGCAAAATTTTTGGTCTCCGCCAGAGGAGAAATGGAACCTCCCCGTTTTCGCGCAATATCGCAGCAGGTTCTAAAGGGAAGAGTCTAAAGGAACCCGGAAGTCTTTCGTGTTCAGTAGGTCTATTTATAAATCTATGAGTCTGCTGGCGAGGGCAGCGTCTGTTGCGGAAGCCGAACTACAAGTCCCATGGGCCCCCGCGGAAGCCAAAGCAAGAGGGTCCTTCGTTACGTGAGGGGAGGAGCGACCGCTAAGTCCGGCTTGTTTGGATGCGGCTGCGCGGGGGAAGCCGGACCTGGAGCGCGTGTGGTGAAGGAGCCGCCGGCCACGGCCCTCTGAGATGAGCCCTCTGCGGGGCCGGCGCGGGGAGCAGAGAACCTGCCGGGGCGGCCTGGCAAGGCGGAGGGCAGGTGTCCCCCCTGGAGGTAACGGCGGCGGCTCAGCCGGGGTGGGCGGCCTAAGGCTGGAGGGGGCCACCTGTGGCCCTCCGAATCATCCCCGACACTGGCAACATGGGAGGGAATCGACAAGCTCGTGGAAGAAACGGCGGTCAGGGCTGCCAACCCTGGTGCCTGTATTCCGCCTTCAGTGTCAGAATTATTACCGAATTTGTATACCGCCTTTTATCTGCGGATCATAAGGCGGCTTGCAATATAAAAACGCCATCCTTCTGAAGGCTGCCTGGGGGGAGAGCGCTATTTAACTTTGATTTTCCTGCTCCTGGGCTTCCCACGCTGTTGGCCACTGTGACAACAGGATGCTGGACTAGGTAGCCTGATCCAGCAGGCTCCACTTAGGTTCTGAAGATCTGAGGACCACAGGATCCCCAATCCCACCCATGGCAGGTGTTGCCTTTGGCACTCCAGGTGAAGCTGAACTGCCTCTCCTGTCAGACCCAGCTAGTGTGGCAGGGGGTGAAGAGAGTTCAGCAACATTTGGAGGGCCACAAGTTTGCCACCCTGGTTTCAAAGGGTGGCAGTGAGGAGGATTAGGGCCTCCTGTGCTTACCTGTCCCGTGAAAGAAAGAGGGACATTTTTCTCTCTCGACACTTTATATACCGCTTGACATCGTTTCGTGTAAATGTTACTCAAATAATTACATTTGCACCCAGCCTTTCTCCTGTCATGAAAGGCAGCATACATGTGGTTTTCAGTTACTGTACTTGGCACTGACCAGACCCAGATCTGCATAGCTTCAGCAAAGTGCCTTCAGCCATACCCTGGAACTTAGTACTATTTGGAATACAAGTCTAAACAGCTATTGATCATGATAGCTAAGTGAAACCTCCATATGCAGAATGTGTACCTCTTGAGTATTAAGATGCTAGGAGCAAACAACAGGAGAGGATTGCTGCCTTCATGTCCTTGTATGTATACATACACACTAACAAAGAAATGATCTTAGGATTTCAGTGTTACACATTTTGCTTTGCTGACAAAACATTTAGACAGGAAAACATCCATTAATGAGGAGTCCAGAGATAAGCCCATTAATGTTTCTGTATATGTATATATATGTATAAGATCTAAATATATAGACATTGCAGGTAGCTGTGTAATGTGTTAGAAAAAAATATTCAGAAATTAAAAATCAGGGTAGGAGTAAAGCTTTCTGGGATCAACCAAAAAGGCACAGGAGCATAAACTGATATGGTGGGCATGGATGTGTAAACAAGTTAGTAGCTGATTGAACTTGAGCATTAGTGAATATGTTTGGTATCTGCCAGTCATTCTCAAACGGTGTGCTTTCTGTTTCACTTCTGCTGCTTCTCTATCAGACTTCCTCAACCTTGGCCCTCCAGATGTCTTGAGACTACAATTCCCATCATCCCTCACCACTGCTCCTGCTAGCTAGGGATCATGGGAGTTGTAGGCCAAAAATACATGGAGGGCCAAGGTTGAGGAAGCCTGTTCTATATGGCTCAGCCTTGTGTCATAACCAACCGCACCTGGAAACACAAAGCAGCATAAAGCATTTGCCCATTGCAGCCTAATGTGTTTTTGGTAGAGACATCTAAGAGACCAAAGCAAGACCTGGATCATAGCTAGTGGACAGAGTTTCTTTTCTCCTGAAGAAAAAGTAATGCCCTTCTTTATTTAATGAGATTAAATATTTGTAATTTGAGGATAACGCCAATTACAGACTTCAAGTAATGGAGGAGTGTAATGTTGCAGCATCCGAGATCAGCCAGGAGGATGCAGTTTCCAGATGGGAAACCATGTTAGTCTGTTGCAGTAAGAACAAGGCCTTTGTCTAGTTGTCATTTCTGCATATCTCAAAGCAAAGGATCTTTCCTAACACTGCTTTCTTTCCAGATATCCCATGTTGTCCCATCGTGTACAGAGGCTCGGCAGAGATTGGGTTTGCCACTGGAATGTTGCTCAGAGACTCTTCCGGGATGGTCAAGCTTTCCAGCATATGAAGAGAACTGCATCCTGTTTTGGGGCTTGTTACTCGCCCTTGAACCCTTGGGATTGCCCAGGGAGCTGTAGGCTTCCTCTGCTCTGGAGCACACAGTTTCCTAGCCTCGTACAAAACTCTTCCATTCATCTCTGTGCTACAATGAAAGCTGAGGGAGATGAGCCATGTGTAAAGCGAAGAAGACATAGTGGGGATCAGGACATTTGTCACAGCCCTAATGAAAAACTGTGTACCTCACCTTCAGATGAAACATCCTGGTCTCCACCTCAACTTCAGTGTAAAGAAGGAAGCACTCCAGAACCAAGAGGTATGGTGGCATCTTACTCCCTTGATCCTTTGCTCTTAATATTTACAGGGTTGTGTTACTTACTTAGGAGAGAAGAGAGCCCATGGGGTCTGGGGTGCCTTGGTTCAAGTCCCCACTCAGCCATGGAGCTTACTAAGTGAGCCAGTCAATGTCTCTTGCCTAACCTACCTCATCGGATTCTTGGGGTGCCTTGAATTCCTTGGAGAAAGGATGAGATAAAAGTGTGATATTATTATATATGCTGAATTCAACTTGCTCAGAAAGCACAACTATTCAGTTTATGGTCCTATGAACAAGCTGTTCACACCTTTCTTTTGCACTGTTGTCAACAGCTGATAATATAAGCCAACAAAATTTACTAGAGTTATCATTTTTGTTGTTGCCTGCACTTCCAGGCCTGTAAGAGAGCAGGTGAAGTCCCCTCCTTCATATCCTGCTTGGGTATGCGGGCTTCTAGCAACATGGGGTGCTGCCTTACATTGAGTCAGCAGAGGTTGAATGGCCATCCGTCATGGATGCTTTTGCTGAGATTCCTGCATTGCAGGGGGTTGGACCAAATGACCCTCAGGGTCCGTTCTAGCTCTACAATTCTGTGATTCATTGGTCCATCTACTTCACTGCTTTCCACGCAGCAGCTTTCCAGAGGCTGAAGCAGGAATCCTTCTCAGTCTTACCTGGAGATGCCAGGGACTGAGCCTGGAATCATCTGCATGCAAGGCAGATGATGCTCTGCCACTGAGCTACTAGTCTTTTAGGCTAATAATAATAATATCTCTACTAAGTGGACTGGTGAATGATGAATGGATCATTCTATCCTACTATTTTGTGTCCCCCACCACCATCCTGCTTCATTTTCTTGCTGCCAATTGACAATTTTATGCTGTTTCTGAAGCACAAAGCCCTGAACAACTTGGAACCAGTATACCTGAAAGTTCACCCCACCCCTTATATCCCCAATTAATCATTGTGCTCTAGAGGTGAGGGCCTCCTTCAGGTACCATCTTATCAAGATGTCCATTCCGCACAGTGCAGGAATCAGGCCTTTAGTGTTGTGGCAGTTGCTCTTTGGAAATAACTTCCATTAAATATTAGATGTTGTCATTTCAGCACTTACTGAACTTTCCTCTTTCAACAAACCTTTTAAGGAAAGATCATTCCCAGTTTGTGTCAGTATCTTGAATTGTTTTTAGATATTTTAATTGGCACATTTATCGTGTGTTTGCCGACCTGTGCTCCTCTGGGAGGAAGTGCAGGAAATAAAAGGAAGACAGCTAGTATGGAGACCAAGCAGGCTGGTGAGGGAGGCATTTTTGCAATGTGTCTGTTGTTATTATTCAGTTTATGTGTCATTTTCAAACATAAAGAAGTGCTGAAGCAACTCAACAGCAATTCAGTACCAAAAATAGAACATACAGGTAGAATATCAATTAAATTTCACCAACAAAAATTAATCACAAAATAGAAGAATCCATCCTCCACCAGCCCACTCATTTGCCTGCATCCAGCAAGTTGTTTATTACAACTTTTATGTTAAATTCCACTCCTCAGCAGAGTCCTGTTTATTGCTATCCCAGGGTTTTCTTGTTATTTTCTTCCTACTTTCTGTTATATACTAAAGCTACTCCTGAAAGAGATGGGTCTCTTTTGCTACTATTGTTGTTAAACAATTCAAGAACAGAGGTACTTCCTATTTAAAGAGGTGCAAATGTTATTGCCAAATTGACTAGAAGTCCTGCTTAATGAAACACTTAAAATTATTATTATTATTTTAAACACTTATACCCCAACCCACAGAAAGCTTTCCCAAAAGAGAGATAAAATTCAGCAGTTCAACAAAATTATCAAAAAGAAAAGGCTTTAGCTTGCTACCTCCTAGATTTGTCTGAGCAGAGGAATACCTAGGCAGAGCTCTACAACTAAGGAGGCTGCCTCGCTGATCAGTACACACCTGATCTCAGAAGGGGAACAGGCCCTAATGCAGAGCTGGACAGTTCGTATTTAATTAGTAGGCTCCACAAAACAGGACTTAAATTGTTTTGTACAGGACTTTAAAAGCTCAAGTCAAAAGTATGAATGCAAACAATCCGCCGCTCCTGGCCTGGTTGTTGTGTTTCAGCAGGTGTGGTCAAGAGACACTGGGAATACTTCTGCCAGCAAAGTAAAAAAATGAAGGTCCTTGTAGAGGATAAGCCGATCAACCAGGATCATCAAGACACACTGGAGAAGTTTGATTTCACCGTAATGTCGTACAACATCCTTTCCCAAGACTTGTTAGAAGACAACTCTCACCTGTATAGACACTGCCAACGGCATGTGCTAGCCTGGAACTATCGCTTTCCCAACATTCTCGCAGACATCAAACGGCTGGATGCAGATGTAAGTGGGAAGCTAACCTCATAGCTGCCAATAAAAAAGAAATCCATAGGAAGACAAATCTTTTACAGACTGTAAGATAGGCATGAGGATCCTTTGGCC